AAACTTAGACCCATATGGCTGCGCGTCCGCCTCACCTTTGTGACTGGGATATTGCTCCAGAAAGTGTGGTTAAGGTGAGGACTAGGTCAGAGACAGTTGCTTGTGTAAATACAGACCCATAGGGAATGGTCAAATTAGAGTCTAAAACTCACAATGTGTTTTCTAGTGTGGTCAAGGTGAGTACTAGGTAGAAGTGAGTGAGTGAGTCTGGTTTTATGCCCCTTGTAGCAATATTCCAGCAATATCACGTCGTGGAACACCAGAAATGGGCTACGGTGTGACGAGCAAGCGCTTTAACCATGAGGCTACCCCACTGCCCCTACTAGGTAGAAGCGGGTGCTGGTTTCAATACAGACCCATAGAGAATGGTCAACTAAGAGTCTTGTGTGGTCAGTGAGAGTTCTGGAGAAGACCTAGAAAGTGTGGCCTAGTGAGGTCAAGTCTTGGTAGTGGCCTGCGTTTTGGTAAAGCCCAACAAAGGTCAGGTGATGTCCTGGTAGTGCAGGCTTGCTTGGGTCCAAAGCTGTGGTCAAGGTGAAAGGGGTCTTGGTAGTGGCAGGTGCTTGTTTTGTAAAGCCCAACAAAGTGTGGTCTAGGTGATGTCAAGCTCGCTGACTTGGTTGACACATGTCACTGTATCCCAATTGTGTATTCCTGTGATTAGGCTCGATTATGACAAAATATGTCATCAGTACAATGCTTGATTTTGGAACAGACTTACTCTTGTTTACATGGGTATGACCAAACAGATCATTTATTATTGGACTCTGACAATATGGTTTGAAGCTCATCCTACTGGTTTCAACCACTGGTTTGCTTGGTCCAGACTTGATTATTTACAGACAAAATGGGGTAGCCAAGTGGTTAAAGTGCTCGCTCGTCACACCAAGACCAAAATGTGATTCCCTACTTGAGTACAATGTGTAAAGCAGGGCTCAAGATAATCTTTCATGATCAGGGATGCATTACTCCTTATTTTTCTCAATACAGGAGTACTGGAAAACAATAAGAGTACATTTAGAGTACTGAATGGAATTTAATGGAGTATCAGTAATCTTGTGTTTCATTTCATATATGCACCACAACATTGCTACTCTTGTGTAAACAGGTCAATAAACAATAAAACAATACTTTTTCAGATAAATCGTCTGTAAATGATTTCTAAGACCGTACACCATTGCTGTGGATTAGCATTATCTGCTCACGCTTTCTAAATGATTTCCTACCATCTTGTATATTTTATATCCATACATACGCCTAATTTTATCTGGAGCCCTGTGTAAAGCATTATGCCATGATATTGCTGAACCTAAATGCTTCAGCCAGACTGGAGCCCCTGTAATAGCATTTCTGGTGTAGCCTAGTGTTAAATATTGCTGGAATATTCGAATCCCTACATGGGTACATTGTGTGAAGCCCATTTCTGGTGTCCCCCGCGGATATTGCTGGAATATTCTAAAACTGGCAAAAAACTCACCACTCACTAATAGCATTAGCAGTAATATTGCTGATTTGCTACTTTCAGTCACTCACAAATTAGGCCTGATGTGTGGGTACAATTTACAGCAATCTTTTTATTGTCCATCCTTATGTCACTCTATGAGATAGAGTTTGGACCAGACAATCCAGTGATCAACAGCATGAGCAGCCTCCACCGATCCTATTGTCCAATGTCACTCTATGAGATAGAATTTGACCAGACAATCCAGTGATCAACAGCATGAGCACCCAAGCCTCTAGTCGCTTCTTACGACAAGCATGGGTTACTGAAGATCAATTCTAACCCGGATCTTCACGGGTCCAGTGTCAATGAACAGTGATGTTAATGGAATATTGCTACAGGCAGTGTAAAAGTTCTCTCTCATAAACTTACATCATCAGTGTAGCAGCAGTAACAACATTTTACCAGTAGGATTTGAATAGTTTTGTTGCGTGAGCAGGAACCTCTTATCTGCAGGTATCGCAATGTCAGTAACAGATGTTGATAAGCCGCCAAAGTTTAAAAACCTTCTGTAAACTTAAGCAAGCATTAGTATTTACGTCAGATATCTTTTAGATTTCATGGATTTCAACTTCAAGTGATTTGCAATTCATCAGCTTGATAACACCCGGTTAATGAGGAGATGTTTTCGTGCAGGTCTTATTGAACAATAACCTTGCCCTCTATCATGGAGGCATGCTTGTTGAATCTACAGCTAATGTGTTCCTTATAGTGTTGAACAAACAAACAACTTCACACGAAATTTTGCTCTATAAACATAATTATGCTTTTGATTTGTTGTCTTTTGATGTGAACGATAAGAAATGTTGTGTTTTTTATCACTTGTATCTGATAAGCTGTATTTGAGGTCAAGGGTTTACAATTTATCCGAGGTTTGTTTGGAAACAGCAGCTATTAACGTGCCACCTGCGTCTAAATTGTGAGTAATATCAAATCTTGTTATCAGAGGTATACATCTTTAATATGTCAGAAATCGAGAATGGGTGACATCTGTTGGTTTATGTAGCTGTGTGTAGCTGGTTGTAGCATCAGCTTCCTGTTGTAGCCTCTGACACAGCATGAGCTTATGTCATGGCCTGGTTGTTTGTGGGACGGTACAGTAAACAGCTTGTCAGAAATCATTGGAGACATGAAGTCATGACAGCTAATTATAGAACCCTTTTACTGACATTTCTAAACCTTTTCTCAGCCATTATCTGGTCAAAATCAGTGGTGGGGATCCGACTTGAAATTTTGACCTTGATTTGACTTTAGCACTTGACAAAACTCTTCAAAATATATTTTCAGTGTAAACATATGCTTGATTGATGATGCTGACTTTGGCTTCTGTTTACGGTGACATATTTTCGACAAGTCTTGTGATTTTGTCAAAATAAATTCTTGCTCCATTTTTTCCATCCAGTTGGAGTACGATGCTTTTACTATGTTTTTTCAGTATATCCTTTTATCATCAATCTTAGTACAGTGTATGTATGTGACTTTCTAGGATATGATCTTCAGATGGAATTTTTTTTCCACAGGATTAATTAGTTCGAGTTGCAAAAGGAATAGTCTGTAACTGGAATGCTTCCATTTTGTTTAGAATAATGCTGTTCTAGATTCTAACAGTTGTTCTATGAGAGGGTTAGTTTATGAAAAGCATTGAAATTTACCATTATTATTTTTTCTTTCAAAAATAGGTAGGGCCTCATAACATAATCGCATCAGACGTTTTGTTAGAGTTAAAACATGTTAAGGAAAGCTAACTGTTATGTATGCTGTAATATTAAGGGCCTATTAAGAAACTTGTTAATATTTGCGTAATTTTTAACTATTGTCATATCCAAATAGTCCAACAAATTTTACTCTTGGTTTTTGTAAATGCTCAAATACTTTTAGAAAGTGTTCAAATGTAACATGCATATATATTTGGGATTATTCTTTTTCAGTAAAATAGAGATTCTAGTACTTTTGTTTTGTTTGTAAAATCACTTGACTGAGGGAGACTGCTCTTATTTCCTGTAGATTTTAACAAGTCTTGCATTAACAGACTTGTATCTATGTCTCATTTAGTCTATATTTCGTCTGTCTGTTCATCAATATTTTTGTGTAGGAAATATTTGAATATCTTTGTATATCAAATATGGTACAGCATGTCCTGTTAACTTTCTTGTGAAACAGTTGATTATATATTGAAGTGAACTATAGTACCTAGCATTATTTTTTTATTGCATTTAGTTGTTTGAACCATTGATGAACCATTTCTCCTTGGGTACAAGATGGTTGTCGTGCAAACCTTGAAGAGTTATTTCCCTTGGGTCACAATCTGCTTGCTGTGGCAGTTGTTCGTTCAATCATTTGTTCAGTTAGTTATTCACATATCATAAGTGAAACATGATTAATGATTATTAGAAGGTCAATATAGCTTGTAATATTTGTCAGGTCAACTTCTGTGAATTTATGAATGAATTATCTAATAGTAAAACAGTTTAAAAAATCAGTAGACGTGGTCAAAACAATTGTGAAAATGAAAGCTTTGCTCTATACTTAGCAAGAATCCTATGAAAGGAGACTGAAAGTAAATGTAGTTCCATTTAGGAGACCTCAAGTTATCAGACCTCATTTGCATATTTATCAGATGACGATAGCTAGGTTATGGGATCGGTTAACTGCACTGACAACACTGTCATTTATAGCATATAATTACTAGTTGGAAAATAAATTTTCCTGTGCTCCAAAAGTTAAATATAAGTAAAACTAGTAGTAATTAGAGATGTTTTGGTGAAAGTGTTTCCTTTTGCTATAGTCCGCTTTGGTTTCAAAAGTGGATCGATGAATTGGTAATCAAATAGTGAACTGTGTCAATATTTTAATGATAGTTTGTTTAACAACTTTTTTAATTTTAGGGCATAAATTCTGCAAACAAATCACAGAGTTGGTCTGACGTTTTCATTATGATCAGCATTTCATTGAGTATTATATGTTTAATAGTTTTTGAGTTAGATTGCAATTCATCGGTCCGCTTTTGAGCCAAACGCACTATAGTATGTTACGTTTGAATATGTACTATGTTTTCCTTGTGCCTATGACCTGAAATAGTGAGTGTTTGTGTGTATAGAGCTGAAGTCTGCAAGGTTCTAGTTGTATCACATCAACTAGAAATAAATGAACCTGGGCCAGATAAACCAGTGATTAATATTATAGTATTTTTTATGGAGACAGGATATTTTTTCAACTTCAGCTGTAAAACCAGATATATTTTGATTCAAACTGCATTCAAATTGCATACAGGTACTTGTTGCATACAAATACTTTTAGTTTTTCATCCGTTTGAAGCATAATTATGTTTTTCAAGCAAGTTAATATTATTATTTACTTTCCCCAGAATATCAGATACTTGGTACCTTATACTTGATGCTACTGAAGACAATGTCAGCAGCAATATGTATATGTTTATGTCCATTTTCAGTTATGGCAGAAATTAACCCTATAACAACATAATCTCTGTTTTCCTCTATAGTTATACGATGGGTTATCTACCAAGTCCCCTTCTGTGGTGCTGGATCGAAAGAAGCGTCCTGCGCTTGTGTCAGACTCCAGCACTCTGGTCATCGTGTTTGACACGGGTGTCAACCCTAAAGGCTGCTGTAAATATGCCGGCTTCAAGGCTGCATACCAGTTTATCTCAGGTGAGTGCCTCGTTAAGGGATGGTACTGTGTTCAGTTACCCTTTCCATGTGATGTAAGGTGTACATATACACCATTTCCATGTGATGTAAGGTGTACATATACACCATTTCCATATCATTTCCATGTGCAGTGTAATAGTGCAGACAAGAGTAGATGAAAAGGACAAAAAGATTCACACTAAAAAAAACTTTCCTCATATAGTCTATGATTCCAATGATGACGATCAGATTCAAAATTTTTTGACATGCAAAAAAGTTGTCTTGACTTTAATTCACTTCTTGTATTCTAAGGAAGTGGGCGGTGGGGTAGCCTAGTGGTTAAAGCGTTGGCTCGTCATGCCGAAGACCCGGGTTCGAATCCCCACATGGGTACAATGTGTGAAGCCCATTTCTTGTGTCCCCCGCCGTGATGTTGCTGGAATATTGCTAAAAGCGGCGTAAAACCAAACTCAGTCAGTCAGTCTAAGGAAGTATTAACTACATAAGCTTTACATGACAGCCTATACAAAGAGTATTTGTATAAAACACCTACACATGGTTAATTACAACAAAAGAGACCAAGATGAGACAAGAAGTAATGTTGTTTTCTTTGTTGTGATTTTGTTTATGTCCATCCTGATCTCTGATCTTTCATCTGTTCTGACACCAAACTACCGATTCTTTACAGAGAAGGACTGGCCAGACAAGCCACTTACCGACTGCAGTAGAACATATGCAATGAGATCAGGTGGTATGATCGACTTCACTGGGTCCATGTCACATCCGGGTCAGCCAAACTTCTTTGACTGTGTGTGGATCATCAAGAGATACCCTGGAGATGACCGACCAGACGGAGTGATGCTGAGGATGAGGGAGGTCCTTCTGGGAGACGGTGAGTGGCAGCAACATCAGACTCTTTGAGAGGTATTTTAGAAGCTGGGAAGCATGATATAGACGGACTCTATGGATAACAACTTCTTTATTTTGTGGGTGCAATGTTTTGATACAGATTCTGCTTGACATTGGTACAAGAATCGTATCGAAATGTTGCACCCATGAAATATAGAAGTTGTTATGCATAAAGTTCCTGAGAGCCTAATAATGAATATGGGAAATGAATATATATTTTCACAAGTCTGCAAAAATTATCAGCTACAGTTTTGTCATCTACATAGTGGCGGAAGTGGTCCACTGCACTGATGGTTTCATCAGAGTTTTAGTTGTATCTGAGTAGTAGAATACTGTGATAGTATGTTACTGAGAAGAGGTGAGATGACTACAAGATACTATGCACATCATCTCAACACTCCATAAAACACCATTGTCTTTTTCATATTCAAGGGAGATAACCCTTACGTCCCTAGCATCATTGTATCTGACCAGCACGACTCTGTGTTTAGGTTGGTGTGTCTAAAGGGAAGATGACTACAAATTTTTCCATGCATCATCTCAACATTCCAACAAACACAATTTGTTTTTCCCTATTCAAGGGAGATAACCCATACTTTGCAATGCATTATCCAAGCTTCAACTTTTACATTCTTGACAAACTGCACATGCGTATATAGTATCTTCAATTGACCAGTATCCTTTAAGGTTTATTTAATAGCCTCTCTAAGACAAATATGAAGTTATTGACATATAATATGACCTTTAGTTCTGCTTGCTCTACTTGTGACATTGACTGTCCTGGTGTTACAGGGTTGGCTTCAGTACGGCAAGGTCAACAGCCTGGAGATTCGTCAGGGGACAACGTCACTGAGTCCAATCAAACACAAATATACAGCCAAAAACTTGACCTACGCCCAGACGTTCTACACCTCGGGGCAGGGTCTGTACATCCGACTCCGCGGAGGTTTCTATTCAACAGATAAACTCTCATTCATATTCACAGCCGTCAAAAATATATCTGCAGGTGAGCCAGTGTGAGAGTTACTGATTAGCAAACTAAAGAAAAATCAACACGAACACTGCATTTTGGGGCAGTGGGCATATCAGTGTAATATGTTCAGTATATCAGGCAGCTACTTCTGACCATCTGAAGTTAGGGCCAAGTTATTTGTATATGTGAAACTGATATATTTCCTTTGGGAAGTATGGTAATGGTTAACTTGTTAGACAGATCTACATCATGTTATTTGCGATAGTATCCAAACAGGAATGGTGTTTAAAGAAATGGATTCAAAATTCAGAGAAAATCTTGCTTGGGAGTTAGCTCCCTTTGACTGAAGTTTTATTTGTCCACTTTCCATCTTTGGGGACATGACTGCCCACCATACAGTAGGCTGTTCTCTTGTTGCATGCTATTGAAACGTGCCTCTTGTCAATCATATCTAAAAGTATCATATTGGATCCACCGTCTAGAAATCTGCAGCAAACACTGTCAACCACTGCTGAAAGTGTCACAAAACATCAATTTACTCACTCACTCAAAATAGATCCCTGATTCAGTTGCAGCAATGTGCAAGCATCATGATCTAACAAGAAATGCGTAATTCATTTTGTAAGATACTTGCCGAATAAATTACATAGAGTAAAATATGTGATATCTTCTGCCCCATGCATAAGGTGACTTGCCTTACAGACGGTGACCCGTGAAGATCCGGGGTAGAATAGGTCTTCAGCAACCCATGCTTGCCATAAAAGGCGACTTTGCTTGTCGTAAGAGGCGACTAACGGGATCAGGTGGTCAGGCTCGCTGACTTGGTTGGCACATGTCATCGGTTCCCAATTGCGCAGATCGATGCTCATGCTGTTTATCACTGGATTGTCTGGTCCAGACTCGATTATTTACAGACCGCCGCCATATAGCTGGAATATTGCTGAGTGCGGCGTAAAACTAAACTCACTCACTTATAGACGGTGATGTACTCATCAAACACAAGTACTTGTATTATACATTGTGCAGTAATATATTTACTTACCAACATGGAAATTGGACAGATTTTTGGTTTGTACCCTCATGGTTATTCCAACTTGATAAATACTTTCAAAGTTCCATGTCTGGACACGTGTTTGAAGGCAAGTGTTTTAGGAAGCAGATAATGCGGCATTTTTTGTGGGATTACGATTCATGAATGTTATTACAGGGTGAGTGCAAGCATGAATCAGGTATCTATTTGGAAAACACTTAAGAATAATCTGTGTAGCAGCAAGTCAAATCAAAACCATATATATCAAATAGCACAGATACAGTTACTGCCGCTGGTATCAATCTACCCATGAAGATCTGGGTTAGAATTGGTCTCCAGCAACCCATGCTTGTCGTAAGAAGCGACTAACAGGATCGGGTGGTGAGGCTTGCGTCTACATAGCATGCTGGAATACATCTCCTACAACTGTAGACCCATGAAGTTCTGGGTTAGAATTGGTCTCCAGCAGCCCATGCTTGTCGTAAGAGGCGACTAACAGGATCAGGTGGTCAGGCTTGCGTCTACATAGCATGCTGGAATAGATCTCCTACAACTGTAGACCCATGAAGATCCGGGTTAGAATTGATCTTCAGCCACCCATGCTTGTCGTAAGAGGCGACTAACGGGATCGGGTGGTGAGGCTTACTATATAAGGCTGTAACTATGCATCAAACTATTGAAGGATTGCAATTGTTGAGTCTCCGATAGCAATTGATCGATGGTAGAAGCGAAAAACAATCGATGCATCGATAGTATGTGTGACTATCAGTAGTTTAGTAATTGACATCCGTTGATAAATGCGCACCGCAAGATGTTTGGGTGCAGACTTGCAGTTTCATTGAGTTTATGTTTTAACTGTTTACTTGATCTGGGTTTCAAGCGTCTTATCAGTTATTAAAAGAGACTGAAACTACATGTACTTCATTTTGTTTATTCGCATGTAAACTATACATTCACTTGGGAAATAAGTTCAAATGAGACAAAATCTATTGCAATAGTTGGTCGTAGTAGACTATCGCTATTGTGACAGTATGTTGCAATAGACTATCGCTATTGTGATAGTTGGTCGTATTAGACTATCGCTATTGTGATAGTATGTTGCAATATTCTATCGCTATCGCAATAATTGTTTTCCCCTCAATAGTCACCCCTATTGCTAAACCTGGTTGACACATGTCATTGTATCCCAAATGTGTAGATCGATGCTCATGTGGTTGATCACTGGATTGTCTGGACCGGACTCAAATATTTACAGACCAGTGCTATATAGCTGGAATATTGCTATAAAACTAAACTCATTCACTCATTAGTTTCTGTGATTGTTCACGGAGTCTGTTCCCCAGATCTGGTATGACATTTATGGCACTGTACAGTTAAATGTGTCTTCTAGAAATGTACAATTCCATCTCACTTACAGTGTACATACAAGTTAGTTTATGCAAATGACATGAACATGGATACTTCTACAATACATTTACACAATTTTACTTTTTGTTTTCAGGTGGCAGTTGTCCTGGCTACTTCGAATATCTGTGTCAGAATCTGATGTGTATCGACCAGGAGCTGATGTGTGATGGCATTGACCACTGCGGAGACAACTCAGACGAGAGTCCGGCTCTTGACTGTTCTGTATCAGGTAAGGGAATGCATGCGTCAGGACCCGGGTCGATCCAGATCTTCAACAAGTGGGTGGTGGGTGGATTGTGGGATGACTTTGTTGATGCATAAGGGAAAGAGTTTTATGGATGTCAACTTCTCTATCATGAGGAACACAACGTTTCGAGTATATCCTGAATTCTCATTTCATCTGATGAAGGAGTAAGGATTTACTCCTAAATGTTGTGTTCCTCATAATAAAGAAGTTGACATCCATAAAACTCTCTTCCTCATGTGTATCACTTCTAAATGCCACTTAAAGACCTTGTCAGTTGATACGTCATCGTATCCCAGTTGCATGGATCGATGCTCATGATATTGTCAGTCTTTGGATTGCCCAGACTTGATAATATACAGGCCTACAATGGCACCTAGGGCAGGTATGGTTGTAATGCATTAGTAGTGCAGGAGCGATTGATTGAATAATCGGTCAGTCGATCGATCTTGCTTTTATCAGGGATTAGGAATGACCTGGGAGTTTATGAGTTCTTCAGTGAAACATCAAACTTCTTATTGTTTCTTATTATTTCTTATTAAATCAAGACAACTGATGCAGTTTCATGACTCGCACAACTGCAGTGTAAATGACATACAGTGACACCCCGGATATTCGGACACATTCGTTTTTACGTAAATCGTCCGGATAACTGAATATCCGGATATCTGGATTTCTGTCATCCAGGCTTAGGTGTTGAAACGGTAGTGAGCATACACTTCTGGTTTAAAATCACTTCCAAAACAGCATGGTCATTTTGATTTGCCAATTACAAGTTACTCTGTGCCAGATAAGCCTACTAATCACCACCAATACCCTGCTGATCGGTCATTAATCCGGATTGAGTTAATTTTGTGTTGATTTAGACGGTTGGTTTGTAAAATTTACCGTCCAGGAACGGAAACCGCATATCTGTTATAGACAGTCACTTTTATAACGTAAGAGATTGGGTTTTTATGAAAATTGACCGGAAGGCGAGGTTACCAGATATTTGGGATCCAGGTATCCGGGGTCTCACTGTACTCGCGTCTGTGTTTCCACAGGAAGTATCCTTGATCATGGTATTAACCGGTGCCTGTTTCATTTGCATAATGTTATGACTGTGTCCCGTTATTGCGAACATGAGTTTTGCGGTGGTGTTTATGATTACAATCAATTAATGACCAAGATCGATTATTGATTTGCATATTGTGAGCAGTAACCAGCACTATGCATTAATAGTTCCCACCCCAACAATCTCTCCACCCTAAAACTGTCTCCTCTGTTTCAGCTCTGTGGAGACTGAGCTTCAAGTGGTCCATGCCTTTTTTGGGTACGTACCAAATACAATGAACTGACTGATATAACAAACTGTATTTTTCAGTGTTTGCCACATGCTTTGTCTTTGTCAAAATGTGTATAATGAACGATGGATATTACAAACTAAAACTGCCCTCAAGTTCATTTAACCATAGGGGCGGTGGGGTAGCCTAATGGTTAAAGCATTGGCTCGTCACGCCAAAGACCCGGGTTCGAATCCCCACATGGGTACAATGTGTGAAGCCCATTTCTGGTGTCCCCCGCCGTGATGTTGCTGGAATATTGCTAAAAGCGGCGTAAAACCAAACTCAGTCAGTCAGTCATTTAACCATAGTTTACTGTAACTGCTACAATTGATGTGTTCCTTATAACGATATTATTTTTGAAGTGTGTTGCTATATCATAAGTATCACTGTTCATTAATAAAAACAATATGTAACGAGCTCATGCCCAACATGTTTTACTTCATTATGGAAACACATAAAGATAGTTATCTCTTTATCATATGAAATCATTCTTAAAATAATCAATGATATGTTTTAATGCAATGAAATAACATTAGAATCCACCCATAAATACAATGTTGAGAGAAATTAACCATTTATGGTATACTTTTGTGATGCCAGCTAATTTGCAACTATGCCTATCTATTGAACCACCCCCACATCTGGAAACTTTGTTGGAACTTTTCTTAGAATAAATATAAATAAGAAAATTATATATCTGATGAAGCAGGCATTTTATTGTTGTATAGGACTTAAAGGTAGTTACAGTAATTTGCATATTTATCAGATCATGATACCATGTTTATGGCATTGTATTCCATTGTTGTTTCCATTATTGTTGTTCTGCAAAATATAACACATCAGTTACTCACCAGAACCAGAGCTCCTAATGAAATCTAAGTTGTCCTGCTTTTCCTCAAAAGCTGGTGAATAAAAACCGTGAAACATTTCTCAGATGTATATTATAATCATACAGATTCATTTTAGACATAAGAATAAATATTTGAGCTTTTGGAGGGGGTTAGATGAAATATATTCTTCAGGGTGTAGGATTCTGAACATTGATGCAAAGCTCACTACAGATGTCCTGATAAATATTAGGAAATATTTTTACTAAAAAACTCACTATCATGATTATGTGCATATACACAAAAAGAGATAAATATACTTCATTAAGGTTATGAGACCTTCAGATTACTATGTTGCTACTGACTTAATTACCTATGTGACCTCATGTGATGAGTGGGAAATAATTCTTCCTGCAAAAGAGTTTCTTTTTTTTCAACTTTTTGCTGCATGTTCAGGTCTTCTATTGTTTGTTGTTGTTTGTTCCCAGATGTGAGCAGCCCTGGGCCATCCCCGCGATGTGAGGATGGGTTTCTGTGTGCAAGTGGAACAGAGTGTCTGTCCCACAGCAAGCGGTGTGACGGGCTCCTTGACTGTCAGGATGGCTCCGATGAATACGGATGCTGTAAGCATTACGAACATTTATTACCGACATGTTGCTAGGCTTTGTTAATACCTCTGTTAGGAAAGTTCAGATGACAAGTTATATATCTGCTGTAGGAAAGCAGATGAATATATCTGCTGTAAGCGTTATAACTATTTATTACCCCAAATGCTTCTAGGTTCATGTCTCTGACAGTGTAGTTCCTATAAACATGGATACTGTAAGCGTTACAATCATTATTACCCAACATCACTCATATGCTACCATGTGTTGCTTCCCATAAAACAACTTCTAATACATTTGCATATAAGTTCCTTTAATATCAGAGATAATATGTCTGTTAATATTTCTGCAAAAATGGCCTAATGAATAAGAATTACAATAATTTATTACCCAAAATGTTACATGTTACCATATTCTGTGAAAGGACTCTTAATCAATAAAATAGGGAAAGAATAAATTGTAAAAATAATTACGTTTCTGTGTTTGCTCAGTAGAGTAAATTCTAGTCTGTCGTACAGACCCTGAAGTAAATATATCCAAGAAAGCCCACGCAAGTCTAGAAAATGTGGCAAGTCTAGAAGAAAGTCTCAGGGCTCCTTTTCATTATATTTTTGTTTTTTTTACTATGAACTTTTTTCAGTGAAATATGTTCATTTCAGAGACTAGTTGTTAGTCTAGGTAAATTGTAATGTTGAAATGTTTTTACCTGTTTCAGATACGCCAACAACAGGTCATTCAGCGGGCGTATCATCTCATCCTAAACTTGGATTATATCTCATATATGTATTGTTTTTATTGGTTATATTCCTCAATAACAGGTAGCCAAGATTGTAAAAATGTGTGTTTGAGAATGTATGAGAACATATGAATATGTGCGAGAGAAATTGAGAATGTAGAACAACCACACCCACTAATTAACCTTATTTAATAGCAGGGATATAAGAGTGTTATAAACAATGTGAAAATATGTAACAGTTGGCCATTCAACCAATCAAAGGGTATCTTAAGAGGGGCATTAGGGCTGGTATTGGTCATTCTTGTTTCATTCAGTGCAGCTGTAAATACAAATATTATTTATAATTGGTGGGTGTGGTAATATTGATGTTTGAGAAACTTGCAGAAGTTAAATGCCATATCATCGTTGGAGTAGTAGATGCAGGCTTGCTACAGCAACTAGGGTGAAAATACAGTAATATTCTCCTCAAATTTTCATAATATTAACAGCAATAATAATAATGTCATTAAGTAAATAAATGTTCATGAGGCTACTTGATGATTTCCCCGGTCTTTGTATCAGTGCACCCTGAAATTTATTTCTCAGCTCCATGGGGAGTATCATATAACATTCAAGATATATATGGATCACTCAGCACAGTGACAATCTGTAGTCTGTCTGATTGTTCAGTTACTGATAGTAATGTGCAAACACCACATCTAACATCCTCCCAGAGTCAATATCTTTCAAAATAAGTTTCAAAATTTGCTGATGCAGCAATAAGTAATATTCACTTACTCGGTGTCTAGTAACATCAATTATTTCATTTATAAACATAACATATTTTCTTTAAATAGTAAAGTAATCTGAAGATCTTATAGAAATGTACGCAGAAAAGTAATTGGCCAGACAAACATGATGAAATGTCTAAGATAGAAACTATGTTTTTTATTCTTATTTTGACTATTATATGGTTTGGAAAAAGAAATCGTATACTGTTGATCCTGTTATTACGTCATGTTCGTTGGCTTTTATTAAGTATTGTTACTTAATCAAGCAGGCATTTGCTTCATTTGGATGTGGGATGCTTTGAGAGATGTCATTGTAAGAGTTTCCACAAGTTCTTCAAAATATGCCACTGACCTGAGTCTTGTAACAGGGTCCATGTGCACAAAGCAGTCTTAAAGCTACAAAGTTACTCAAACTCCAACATAACCATACAAGAGTTTTGTTTTGATTTGTTAATAGGCCCTGAGTCATAGGTATGTTAAAATGACTTCTTACATTAACCAGTTCTTTGAGAGGCATTTTAGAAGTTATAAAGATGAAGGAAAACCAACTTCTATGGATAGTCAACATCTTTATTGCAATGAATGCGACGTTTCGACGTAGGTACTAACACTGTTATCAAGCACTCATTGCAATAAAGAAGTTGACTTTCTAAGTACTTGGTTTTCCTACGTGAATTACTTCTGCAAGTTTCTTGTGCCAGACCATGGCTTGAGGTGCTACTTATATCGGATGTACATATTCCTCCCGTGCTGCCATTGTGATATCAATTGCTTTATGCAACACACCTGTCATGTTCCTCTCCACTTGCCTTCACACAGACTTCTAGGGAAATTCCCATTTCCTGCATTCTGTTCACTCATGTAATACTGTAAATATGTAGAAAACAAGGACTGTTTACATACACATGCCTAACCCAGATATATTTGAGTCCGTCTGCTGTTCATTTCAAGTTGTATACACTGGATCAACAATCAACAGAAACAAATAGCAAGTTCGGTGTTTGAGTTATTCATAATGAATGATAGGAAAGATAAACCTATTCCCTGTTCGAGGGCCTTACATGAAATGAGCAGTTGCCTTGGTGTCAAATGTTGAAAATTGCACACCTTGGTTTGCTCTATGTTAAGAGAGAAAATATGAAAATTATTGACCCCGACGAGAAAGTTACATGCCCCTTCTCTATAAAACATTTCCTCCATTGAAGTTCAAAATTCAACCAATAAATACTTGAGCCTCATTCATAGTGAGTGAGTAACGCTGTTTTTACCAATATTCCTGCAATATCACTGCAGGGAACAGAATAAATGGGCTTCACATATTGTACCCATGTGGGGAATCAAACCCGGTTCTTTGGCATGAAGAGCGAATGCTTTAACCACTAGGCTACCCCACCGCCCACCTGAAGTTCTAAATCTCCTTCTCATGGTAATCAGACACAGAGGACAAGCATTCAGAGACTGCCACCAGAGACATTCAACACAAGTGGTAGGGTAATATTATATATAACTCCCTACCCACTTTCCATGAATGACTGGGCGGTGGGGTAGCCAGTGGTTAAAGCGCTAATTCGTCCGCCAAGAGGGTAACAATGGGTTAAGCCATTTATATATATTGCTCTAAAAGCGGGCGTAAAACTAAACCCAGTCAGTCAGTCAGTCCATGAATGACTGGTCCCTCCCTTTGGTGGATTTATTGATGGTTGTTCCTCCATCAGTGAGATGTTTGTTAAAAAGTTGAACATGTGACCCTTGTTTCTGATCCGTGTCTACAATAGGTTGTTCCTTCCCTCAGGATTCACTTCGTGTTTGCTCAATTGATTCAGTACAGCAGAAATAGATCAAGGTATTCATTTGTTACCAGTGTGATCATCATGTCAAACCAGATGTTTCACATAATTGGACTGATTTCTTGCCAGAAGCAGGTTATTTTTACAACCCTTTTAGAATACAGACCTGCCAATTGCAAACAGAACATCACTGTTTTGTTTCGAAGCTTAGGCTTTGACATGGACCTATGACACAGCAACTAAAAGGACACATCAAGACTGAAAATCTTGACAGTCCTGGAATAATTTGTATTTTACATTGCTGTCCTTTAAAAACCAGAATTGCTATTGTTGAAAGTTATGTTGATCAGTGAGAACAGGGTGTGTGCCTTCCTTATGTGTGCATAGTAAAGTGTGTATCAGGCCATTTGTCTTAAAAACTATGCAAATAGCTTTATTGGCCCCTACTCAGTAGAACAGAGAAGCATACCATTTTCCCACATTTGTTACAAATTTACCATAGCAACAAGACAGGAAGTGGGGTATAAATTGTATATCCACCACCTAAATGTTGTTTGCAACACACACCAAAAAGGAGAAGTATACGCTATTTTGTTTTTGTCTCAAGGTGTCTCACAGTATCATAAACTAAATTCATTAATCATCTTTTTGCAACAGCAATATTGTATAAATTTCCTCTGTACAAGCACCATGTAATGAGACCACATAACTCTTTTGCTTAGCACTTTATTTTCACGTTTCTCAAACCTAGAACTGACAATTGTCATTTCAACATGGATGGGTGGACAATTAGCCTTAGAATTAAGGTCCTTTGAAAACAAGAATACTGGTTATATTGTTTATTGAGAATAGGGTGTATGTATACATGTATATGTTTAGTCTTCCTCTTGCCTTGAGTTTTTCAAATTTTGTTTTAAAAATGTGCTTCCATGCACAGATATTTTGTCCAAAGTTTGTTAGATATTGTGTCATACAAGGAGTCCAAATGAATCTTTTGTGTAGCAGTTTGTTTTCAGTCACATCTTAAAGGTGATAGTTGATTTTATATCCTTCAGGACAGATTATACTCATGGAAACGAATAAAGGAACACATGAAAGTACAGGTGTTCCTGTATTCTTTTCCAAGTTTCTTCACAAGGTATGTATTGCACTGTGAGTGAAATTCTGGAAATAAATAAAGGTACACTTGTACTTTCATGTGTTCCCTTATTTGTTTCCCTGAGTATATATATTTGCATAATATTCACCTTGAATGGAATATTTAGAATAAGTAACTGTTGGCTGTTCAAAACACTTATGTTTCTCTGTGATTATGCGTCCGTGTTGCCTTGTCATGTTCATGTAACTGTCCCTGTTGGAGCTCAGCTGTTTCAAGTTTTATTCAGCTTCCTGTTTGGGTGTTTACGTCGACTTTTCTAACTCGGCACGCCCTTTTGCTCTCTTGGTTTGTATTTGACCTTACCTGAAAGGTTCAGAAGTTCAAACCAAGACTTTTCTTTCATCAGTTTGGTCAGTAAGATATATGGGTGTATATCTATGAATATGTCATCATTTTTAAGGAAATATATTGTCAACACTGAAACAGTTTTTTGAATATTTGTGTAAATATGTGATCAGTTTGAACTTGCATATAACAGAAAAAGTCTGTTTGTTCATTGTTCTTTTATTTGAGATAACCAACTCCATTTTCAATGTAAGAGAATAATTGTCTTCTTTGGTTTTATTTCCATATTTGACTGTTAGTTGTATTGATTTGTCAGTAAGCATTGTTTAACATGCTTAAAGGTGGAAGGGTTTAAAGAAACCAAGGATTTGAAGGAAACTATGCTCTGCAAGTATCATCAATTATATAATTTGTAAACATAACATATTTTCTTTAAATAGTAAAGTAATCTGAAGATCTTATAGAAATGTACATTGAAAATTAATTGGCCAGACAAACATGATGAAATATCTAAGATAGAGACTGGTTTTGATTCCTATTTTGACTATTATATGGTTTGGAAAAAGAAATACTAGTATACTGATGGAGTAACGTAAAAAAAACCTTGTCCTTTGTAAACGTAATTTGTCATAATGACACATTTATATTGATTGAAAGAAATAAAGAAAAATTACATGTATGAAATACATATATCATAAAAGTCAGTATAAAAGTATGCTTCTTTCTTCTGTTTTGGCCTTCTTTGATGTTTTTCAATAACCGATATTAATAGATCTTATTTATATAATTTTATCTGGAAAGCAAGAAATCCAAAAACAGAATCTTATACAAGAATACTTCTGATATGATGCTGTGATTGGGAATAATTGTGTTCTAATGTACAAAGCGTTTTGTATATATGACTGTGTATATTCGTTGTCTGTCTCTCAAACATGGTGTACATGGTTCGACAGCTGCACCCAGGAGGACGGGGGGCACATATTTATGTTTTTGAGAGTTTAATATCACAGCATGAATACCAAATAAAAATATTTAAATAACCAGCTCCTTCTTGCTTGTGTGTTGAACTTTAAAGAATGTATTCTTGACAAGTTTGTTTGGTGTGGTTCATCTGAAGTTTCAAAGCACTTTTACCTGCAACATCCCAAGGTGATGATGTGTCACAGCTGCAGATGACAAGCAGTTTTACCTAAGTTTTTCTTCTTCTCTTGCAAGAGAAGGTGTGTAAGTGAGTTGGGGTTTACACCAATTTTTGCAATATTCCAGCAATATCATGGCAGGGGACACCACAAATGGGCTTCACACATTGTACCCATGAGGGGAATCGAACCCGGGTTTTCGGAGTGATGAGCGAACACTTTAATCATTAGACTGCACTACTGCCTATAGTAAGTCTGGATATTCCACCGGTATTGCTAGAGTATTTAGTTTCCGAACTCAGCAATATTCCAGCTATATCACAGTGCCCTGTAGAAGATTGTGTCTGGGCCAAACAATCAAGTGATTGATATTATGAACAATGTCTCTGGGTATGATCACACATGATCAACCAGTTCGCGGAGTCCGTCCACTTGATTGAATATATTTGCCTCAACCAAGTCTGTAATCAATTCAAAAACAATTTCAAATAAAGTGAGTGACTTTAGTTTTATGCCACTTTTAGCAATATTACAACAATATCAGAGCGAGGGACACCAGAAATAGGCTTTCACACATTGTACCCATGTGGGGAATCGAACCAGGGTCTTCAGCGTCATGAGCAAATTTATTAATCACCAGGCTACCCCACCGCCCCAATTTCAAATTCAGCATACTCAACAACAATCTCTGTATAAAACTGTTTTATTCCAATTATTAAAATAACAAGGTTTGCATGTGCAAAGCATCAGGCATGTTTGGAATAAAAATACAAACAATACAACAATGTTTTCTGTGTACAATTGAAAACATTGTACATGTTGATTATTCAGCAACAACACAAAATGTGATATCCAACAGGATGCGTTTACATCATCTCTTTCACAGAATAAATACCACGGTATTGATAAGGGTGGAGAAGGTTGCCAAAGAATGCATTCACCACAAATACACATTAACATTACTAAACACTTTGTAAATATTGCTGGAAGAATGTTTAATTGTTTCAGGACAATCATTGGAATATATTTCACAACTCTCTAAGAGTTATTGTCTGATGAAATTAGCAGTTTAAAAAAAGCAACGGGTAAACTGCACTTTTAAAGCAAAAAAATGCAAAGCAACTCGTGAATAAAGTGCAACAAGTACTTTGATTCATATCTTTTAACCATTTAAACAATTATGTGTGAATGTTAAAACTATCTGCCATTGTAAATAATAGACACAGAATGTTAAAAAACAAAATGTCAACATAAAATCTGAAACCAACATGGCTATAAAAGAGTAAACTATTCAAAGCTAGTTTAGAACATTGGAAGGCTGTCCGTTGCCATAGTCACCAGCCATGACTGATTAACTGTGGTCATGTGAACAAGCTGTGTGTTCTTCAACCTTTTCCAAGTTCGTGGTATTGACATGCAGTTCCTCAATGTAAGTGAAGTCTGATGATAAAACCTTGGGCTTCAAATGGAATTTACAAAAAGTATACAATTCAAACACATCTAAGAACGCCCACTTTAGGAATGCTGTTAGCTGTAATACGCACAAGCCATGATAAATGAATCATAGTCAGATAAAAATATAGTTCTTTAACTTAATTTGATTAGTACTTTTATCAATACACAGTTCCTAAAGAAATAGTCCAGTCATGATAAAACTCTTGGCAACAAATTGAAATTATTAAAAGTATACTATCATTAAAATTAAGAGCACACATGAAAACGTGGCTTCAATTTTTTTTAGAATTTACTAAGATACAGCAAGATACGTATTTCACCTAATATTTTAATTTTACTTTCTTTGAAATCTCATCACATAAGAATGAAATTAACTGAAACAAAATTAGATGAAATTTAAGTAGGGCTGTTACAATACACTTCATTTCCATTAGCAGTCTATAAAACGTTTGGCCTCACTATGATTCCAGTTAAGGAAAACTAAGCACAAAAACTGAAGCTCCACCTCCACTACGATTACTTTCTGATGCAGCACCTTCAACTACTACTGCTTTGTTTAATGCCGCATTCAGCAATATTCCAGCTATATGGCAGTCTGTAAATAATCGAGTCTGGACCAGACAATCCAGTGATCAAAAGCATAAGTATCGGCCTTCAACAAAAATTTCTCAAAGCTTAAAGTCTTTCATTTTACCACCGAGTACTTCCAGTCGAAAAACATTGATCTTAAAATATATTACAATAATGCTCTCAGAGATAGCCTTGACCTTTCATGGACAAATCAAAAAGGTGTTACATCCTGGAAACAATATACACTTCAAGTTTAATTATACATTCATTACTACTATATTTGAAAGTGTAACAAGTTCTTGAGCGAGATCTTCCTATTTTGTAAGTTATGTAACCTTGACCTCTGACCTCATTACACCTCCAAGTGGAACAAGACCATTGTAGGATATACTGTCAAATATATTTGAGCCATTATTTGTGAGAAAAATTATTCGGTTGAAAAATTCTTAAAAGGTGCATAAATGATGGTATATACCGAACTTAAAGATAACTGCATTAAAATGTGTTATGTAAGCACTTTTCTATCTCATGACCTCAACCTTTGACCTTTTCATGACATGTGCCAAAAGAATTCCCAAGGGTCAGTTAGGAGAAGTCCAACAATAACTTCTAATGTTAAAAATTTGTGTCGTAGCCTTTAGCAAAATCACCATCAAAGGTCAAATTCCAACAAAAACTTAAAGCACTCCTGTTTCATAGGACTGCCAACAATAAACTTGCCTTCAGAAAATATACTGACTGACTGACTGAGTTTGGTTTTTACGCCGCTTTTAGCAATATTCCAGCAACATCATGGCGGGGGACACCAGAAATGGGCTACACACATTGTGGCCATGTGGGGATTCGAACCCGGGTCTTCGGCGTGACGAGTGCCAACGCTTTAACCATTAGGCTACCCCACCACCCCAGAAAATATACAATGTGTGCCACCTTACGCATAGTTAGATACAATTGTTATACTTCTGTGTTAAAGAATGGTAGTTATGATCATCTTAAAGCAAACATTGCTTTGTACAACAGCACCCTTGAAACTAATTACAAGCACCAATTATTCTTATTTAGTGAGGTGGCCTAGTGGTAAAAGCGTTTACTCCATATTAATGCCTGGGTTTGATTCTCCTTCATATTGTTGGAATATTACTGAAAGTTTTGTCAGACCATACTCACTCAGTATGTTGTTAGAGAGGTATCATGTCTTAGTACTTAGCCTCATATGCTACTTATGTGACAACATATCACGATGGAGCAAGAATTTAGTGATTTGTTCCAGTCTGTTACTCACACCACACCGTTAAATAAGGGGTTCGACAGGTATCATGGTTTATACTTGACCTCATAATAAGCTACTTATGTGACAACATATGACAATGCAGCAAGATTTTATAGATTTGTTCCAGCCCGTTACTCACACCAATCTGTAAAATAAGTGGTTCGACAGGTATCATGTCTTAGTACTTGGCCTCATAATATGCTACTTATGTGACAACATATCCCAATTCAGCAAGAGTTTAGTGATTTGTTCCAGTCTGTTACTCACACCATACTGTAAAATATGTTTTACGACAGGTATCATGGTTTAATGCTTTACCTCATAACAGTACTTATGTGACAATATCTCACAATGCAGCAAGCGTTCATTGAATTGTTCCAGCCCTTTAATAACAACCGACCATGATGACCTGCAGGGCCCCACATTGAACAAAGCAACCTTAGAGCTAAGGTGATCGTAACTCCCATACCTTAACATAGACTTACGACAGTCGTACAGCTAAGGTGATCGTAACTCCCATACCTTAACATAGACTTACGACAGTCCCGTACTAGACCTAAGGTGATCGTAACTCCCATACCTTAACATAGACTTACGACAGTCGTACAGCTAAGGTGATCGTAACTCCCATACCTTAACATAGACTTACGACAGTCGTACTGCTAAGGTGATCGTAACTCCCATACCTTAACATAGACTTACGACAGTCGTACTGCTAAGGTGATCGTAACTCCCATACCTTAACATAGACTTACGACAGTCGTACAGCTAAGGTGATCGTAACTCCCATACCTTAACATAGACTTACGACAGTTCTGGCACTAAGGTTGCTTTGTGAAATGTCACCCCGAATTCACTTAAATCACATGCAGAGTAATAAAACAGCCAAACATAAAACACACTTGCCACATAAAACACAACCAACTGTAACCTGTGTAACTGCAGATATGTATCGGAATACTAGAGGTTCTAGACCATCAGGACGCAACAGGCATTGTTCTTCCAGCTTCATTCAGTATAGCAGTGTATCGCCCTGCATGACATTCACTCTATGAGTTTACAAAACACTTGCCTACAAATCAATGTGGGTACTTAAAAATATAACTGTACATTTTCTTATTGGTAAAGCTACTAATTAATGAAAACACACAAGTTTCAACATGGCAAGATACAGAGAGATAATTCATTGTTTTCAGGAGTTAGAATATCATACTCATTGTTCAACATTTCTTAAAAACAGTGAGGATATAATCTTGTATGGTTTGGTTATTTCATTTAATAACATAACAATGACAATTTGTCAAAAGAAATGTCAAATACAAAAGTTTTGTGACATTGTTCCGCAACTGAAAATATTTGATTGGCTGACTATGGATGTACAGGTACATGTGTACTCATCCAGGGAGCATCGGTTGATCAGATTTGTCTTCAATATTGATTAGGTACACAATCACAACCAATTTGTAAAGGTAATCATCCAAGCATTATCAGTGACAATAACAATTATTTGCTGCAAAATTAAATTTAGCTCTACAAAACTTTGTAATCTGTCTGTGGACATTCTGTTTGGTACTTGTGACTGACTGACTGAGTTTGGTTTTACGCCGCCTTTAGCAATATTCCAGCAACATCACGGCGGGGGACACCAGAAATGGGCTTCACACATTGTACCCATGTGGGGATTCGAACCGGGGTCTTCGGCGTGACGAGACAACGCTTTAACCACTAGGCTACCCCACCGCCCCTTGGTACTTGTGAAGCCCTGAAGTCTCAATACAGATTGACAGTTCCTTGTTTGAAACAAAATTTAATAAACAAGTGAAGAAATTCTAATTTTAAGTCTGGACTTCATGTTTCTTATTGGAAAAAAAGAGTTAAACCATGCATGCCACAGATGAATTTATCTTACGTTATTGATTCCAGAAGCAACACTTTTCGTTGTCCCATTATGTTGGCAAAGTATATTATCGGCATCCAATTTTCATGTGTATAGCACATAACACGACCAGAGACTGGTCCAGTGATTATCGGATGTTATACGGCATATACCAATTGAGATACTCCAATGTTATACAGCATTAAGAAGGCTACTGTATATCTGGTGTTTATAACACATATTATCACTATCATATGATATACCACAGATGTTAAGGACCATTTATCGGTAATTATTTCATATTCCTGTAGTTAAACTGTCAAGCAATGACATATTAACTGTAGTGATATGAAAGAATTAGTTGGTCCTCAGTTGCTTTAGTATACTATTCCACAGCACTGTCCTAGTGTTTCTTCATTTCATCCATTATTGCAGTAGTTCAGTACAGTGTTTCTATATAGCACAAATGTTAACATGATTCAAAATGTATGTATGTGTACAAAAACATTCTTGTATGTTTGAGTGTATCCCTGTCTGGCGAAATAATGAAGCTATAGATTACGGTAAGTGGGGGTGAGTGAGTGAGTGAGTGTGGTTTAGTGCCACTTGAACAGTATTACAGTTATATACTTCCCATCAAAAGTTTAGACTCACTAGTGTAAATATAGCCGCTTACTTCAGGCAACTGTTCTAAATTAAATTTTGCAAAATATCCTGTTTAAAGGTACTGTTTACACATAAGCTGATGCATTGTAAAACAAATTCGTACAGTTGAAAGGATTATTGTCATGAGTTAAAAAAATGATAAAACTCAGTGAAAATTGGCGAATTCTTTACACCAAAACTTTTTACATGCATGATATTGGCACATGCTTTTCAGCAATTTGATGCATAATCCTCTTGCAATTCATCTGCATTAGGTTTGCAGTTGGTTCCCCTAAGTTAGTGGAGAAATCAATCTTTGATGTAACCAAACATATCTACATAACATATAGTGACAATTTTCAGTGAGTCTAGCTAATCTTTTGAAGGGAAGTCTATCATGGCATCACTGTATAATGTGGAAGAAACCCTGGAATGACGCCAGTCTATGATAGGTCTTTGGTGAAACCCTACAGCATGCGTACAGTACTGAAAAAACAAGAACATAGAGTGAATCAACAATCACAGGATTCTGGCATGACAAAGGGAAGTAATTCTGCTCAAGCACACTGAATTTCAGAGCCCTTGACAACTGGGCCAGTGTGTGCCAGCCCGACATTACTCACGGCTAGAAGTTCTGTCCAGCTTGTATCGCCCTGACAGGCTCTATTTGGGATCTCACCAGCAGATGAAAGTGTTTGGGTAAATATATCCATGTATGAGGACAATAACAAATATCTTGTAAAACATTAATCTGCTTACAGTAAAGTATATACATGAATCTTTTAAACATCCACAAAGGAAAACGTGTGTTGTATCTGTTGCTAGAAACAGACATGGCACACCCAAACACCCTGTCTACTAAGTGGCAGTCTCTCAAGGAGGAATGTTCCAAGTTTGAGTGAATCTCGTGTAGTCACGTGACAACTTGTCAATCGTCTATTTGCATGAGATATGTATAAATTGCATTGAAGTTCAACTCTCACACATTCCACAACACTACAGTGTTCTACGTATCCCTGAAACTGTTGCTCAGAGGAAGATGGGCAAGATGGCAGCTGTACCATGCTATGTACCACTGTACCATGTACCAGCGTATAACATATCCTCTCTCAACTAAAACGCCTCATGTATCTTTTCTCAGATGTAAAACTCAAAGCTTACAGAGCTGAATTTTCAACAGTTCTGGGGTTTGTTTGTTTCTGATATAACCAGCTATCACACAGTGTCAGTGTTTCTTTAAAGAAAACAGTTTGTGAAAACTGGCTGTGTTTTGATCACAATCTCTAAACGATCCAAATATGTGGTTCCATCAACAAATAGATCATATAAATCACAATATGACAATGGTCACTCACAGAAGTAAGAATAGATTTGAAGTAGCTTGCAGAAATCACAATGAGGTGATATTATCTCAGAGAAATCACAGGACGGTGATATGTCTTGCAATGCAGCCACACTCCTGGGCAAAAATAATCATCCCGATTCCGTGGTTCCATGTTGAGATCTCTGTTCTAACAACCATTTCACACAGATTAAGTTTGATGCACATCTGCACCGACAAGATCACATAAATCTGTGATGTATCACAGAATCACACAAATATATCTGGATCACCACCATCACCTGTGTCCAAAGAAAGCGAGAGATATGTCCCTCGTAACCGATCATCATGTGGTTGTTGTTCCTCTCTCTCTGGCTGCCTATGCCTTCGAGGGCTCGGAGCTGGCACAACGGCAGTTGATGGAACACGTAGTACAACCTCTCCACCCTCGGCAGAACTGTCTCTCACATGGGAAGGAGAATGGCTACTGTCAGACTGCCTGCCTCTCCTCCCTCGTTGCCGTGGACGATCAGATGGTGGTCGAGGCTCTGGTTCTGTTGGATGATCAGGTTCTGATCGATTTCTTGAAGATTTCTTCTTCCTTTTGGCTGTCTGATCCCGATCTTTCCCATGGGCAGCTAAACTGTCTCTACTTCTTCCTTGACCTTGACTGTCACCTTGACCTGGGCAGGCTGCCGCACCTTGCTCCCTCACAGCCTCACTTTCACTTTGTGGTTTGGGATCCTTGTTTCCCAGTGTGGATGAACTCACTGGACATTCTATGAACTCATCCACCGGCTTACTGAATCTCTGCTGGTTCGTGCGACCTGACTCCTCGTGGACTGGAGCAGACGACACAGATGAGTCACGTGGAGGATAACAGTCTCTCTCTGCAACTGTGGAATCAGACGAAAATGACGCTTGGCATAGGTGGCGCTCCATTTGTGATCCATCTGATGATGTGTCTGAAGCTCTTGGAATGTCGCAGGAGTGGGACTCAAGTGAGTCCGTGGAACTCGTGGAATCTGCTGATTGGTTGAGTACATTCTGTGATGCCGTCAGTCGAGGTACATCTGTTGGGCTGGTTGCTTCTTCGTAGGTGGGTGGGTTAACAAGCCCATTGTTGACGTCTGGCTGCGACCACATGAATGCCTGTAAGTATAGAAACTGAGTCAGGCCGACCGGGTTATATACTTTATACTAGTCATGTCAACTATGGCATTCAGAAGGGGGCAGTAACGGGTGGTGAGGTGAAATGGGGTAAATATTGCATTGCAAGATTACTGTGTTTATCCATCGACAGGCAGACCTAGCTGTCTATAGAGTTAACTATCTATAGGCCCATCCCTTACAATGCGTACCACCACAACTGGCCTTGTATAAAACCTTCCCCCATACTACTACATGAGAGTTGACAATGTATAAGCCCATTGCCTCTAACAAAAGCATACCATGACATCTGGCCATGTATAAAGCTATACCCTGACCATGAAAAAACCCTACAATTCAATACTTAAATGTACACTAACAACTGACTATGTATAAGCCCACCCATCCCATAATGAAGTGCACCAGGGCAACTTACCATGTATAAACCCACCCATCTGATATTAAAGTGTACCAGGACAAATGATCACGTATAAACACAAAAAGCCATACTAAAATATACCAAGATAACTGACCATGTATAAGACCACCCATCACACTCTAAAGTATACCAGGACAACTGACCATGTATAAGCCCACCCATCCCACTCTAAAGTATATCAGGACAACTGACTATGTATAAGACCACCCATCCAATTCTAAAGTATATCAGGACAACTGACCATGTATAAGACCACCCATCCCATTCTAAAGTATATCAGGACAACTGACTATGTATAAGACCACCCATCCCACTCTAAAGTATATCAGGACAACTGACTATGTATAAGACCACCCATCCCATTCTAAAGTATACCAGGACAACTGACCATGTATCAGACCACCCATCCCACTCTAAAGTATATCAGGACAACTGACCATGTATAAGACCACCCATCCCACACTAAAGTATACCAGGACAACTGACCATGTATAAGACCACCCATCCCACTCTAAAGTATATCAGGACAACTGACCATGTATAAGACCACCCATCCCACTCTAAAGTATACCAGGACAACTGACCATGTATCAGACCACCCATCCCATTCTAAAGTGTATCAGGACAACTGACCATGTATAAGCCAACCCATCACACTCTAAAGTATATCAGGACGACTGACCATGTATAAGACCACCCATCCCATTCTAAACTATATCAGGACAACTGACTATGTATAAGACCACCCATCCCATTCTAAAGTATATCAGGACAACTGACTATGTATAAGACCACCCATCCCATTCTAAAGTATATCAGAACAACTGACCATGTATAAGACCACCCATCCCACACTAAAGTATATCAGGACAACTGACCATGTATAAGACCACCCATCACACTCTAAAGTATACCAGGACAACTGACCATGTATAAGACCACCCATCCCATTCTAAAGTATACCAGGACAACTGACCATGTATAAGACCACCCATCCCACACTAAAGTATATCAGGACGACTGACCATGTATAAGACCACCCATCCCATTCTTAAGTATATCAGGACAACTGACTATCAGGACAACTGACTATGAAGACCACCCATCCCATTCTAAAAGTATGCCAGGACAATGTGACCATGTATAAGACCACCCATCCCATTCTAAAGTATGCCAGGACAACTGACCATGTATAAGCCCACCCATCCCACACTAAAGTATATCAGGACAACTGACCATGTATAAGACCACCCATCCCACTCTAAAGTATACCAGGACAACTGACCATGTATCAGACCACCCATCCCATTCTAAAGTGTATCAGGACAATTGACTATGTATAAGACCACCCATCCCATTCTAAAGTATACCAGGACAACTGACCATGTATAAGACCACCCATCCCATTCTAAAGTATACCAGGACAACTGACCATGTATAAGACCACCCATCCCACACTAAAGTATACCAGGACAACTGACTATGTATAAGACCACCCATCCCATTCTAAAGTATACCAGGACAACTGACCATGTATAAGACCACCCATCCCACTCTAAAGTGTACCAGGACAACTGACCATGTATAAGACCACCCATCCCACACTAAAGTATACCAGGACAACTGACCATGTATAAGCCCACCCATCCCATTCTATAGTATACCAGGACAACTGACCATGTATAAGACCACCCATCCCATTCTAAAGTGTATCAGGACAACTGACCATGTATAAGACCACCCATCGCATTCTAAAGTATATCAGGACAACTGACCATGTATAAGACCACCCATCCCATTCTAAAGTGTATCAGGACAACTGACCATGTATAAGACCACCCATCCCATTCTAAAGTATACCAGGACAACTGACCATGTATAAGACCACCCATCCCAAAGTATACCAGGACAACTGACAATGTATAAGACCACCCATCCCATTCTAAAGTGTATCAGGACAACTGACCATGTATAAGCCCACCCATCCCACACTAAAGTATACCAGGACAACTGACCATGTATAAGCCCACCCATCCCATTCTAAAGTGTATCAGGACAACTGACCATGTATAAGACCACCCATCCCATTCTAAAGTATGCCAGGACAACTGACCATGTTTAGATAGCCAATAGGAGTGTTCTGGATGACTTCATCGTAAGAAGGAGGAGCATCTTGCTGGATTGTTAGGTTCATCCTGATCCTGCTTCTGTTCCTTCCTCGTCCTGCAACATGAGAAACACACACTGGATTTCTGGAGACGGTTGTAGTTGTAAATAAACTTACATCTTAGACACAAGAAATTGCATATAATATTTTCCACCAACAAATTACATTTACCTCTCATAATGTAACACAGTCAGTTAAGACAAAAAGATGAAATTGTTTCTAAAATGTATGGGCAAAACATGACTATGAATAAGTTTGCTTTGTTGGTTACACAGTCCCAGTAAAACTGGTAATGAATTTGTTTCAGCACAAAAAAGAAACCCTTGTCATAAAGAACTGTGAACGTGATGAAAACTCACGGTTTCTACGAGCCATGTTGCCGCTGACCGAGCTGATTGGTTGTCGGCCATTGAGGGGCGTCTGCTGGGACAACGTACGACATCGGCGGATGAAGATGATGAGCAGACAGATGACGACGATGAGGAAGATGGAGATGACCATTGGGATGATGACGCCGATACTGATGGTGTAGGAGTAGCGGGAATATTCTCCATCTTTGACGCCTGGAACAAAATCTGGGCATTATCTCCTGTAGCAAATTATTAACGTAGTGTATACTCCCCAGGGAGCTGGGAATGAAATTCTAACGCCCACTGATCAATTGTGCCTTGGTAGTGACGTCATGCTTGGGGAATGGTTTAGGGTTAGGATTTGGCACATCATTAAAATGCACGTTAATATCAACAAGAAGACAAAGTCATCAATATCCCCCGCAATGGCAAAATACTCTTCATGATTATGTCTACGAGTTATGATTATGTCAAATATTTAGGTGTGTATATAGAAAAGTGGAAGGAGAGTACTGAAAGGTTTTAAGAGTTCTGCTCCAGAAAGGAGCACTATCACCAACTTCAGTCTAAGTCAAACTTGTTGCCATGGAAATGCCAAAAATATTTTATCCAAAACTACCAAAAGGCACAAGTACAGCAGCAGACCAATCTATGTGCCAAGTTTGGTGAAGAAATATTGAACGGTTATAGAGTTCTGCTCCGGAAAAGACAAATGTGCACGGACGGAGTCCATTTTAATGGCCCCTGCAAAAAGCGTTGCGGGGGATAACAAGAATGCACAGATATTTAGTGAGTCCGAACAACACTTTCAACAGGCATTGGGTGATATAACACATATATCCCCTCTTAACCATTCCCGTTATCCACCTTCAGCCACCACTGCGATCATATGACTGATGGATACAGCAAATAGATGCATAGCTGTCTCCTTTATTTGAATAACGATGACAACTGTAGAGACATTTGAGCAATGGTATTACTACTTGACGCAGACCAGGATACCAGCTCATACCAGGCTGACCTCCGACACAAGTTTATTCAATATATTCACAAGCACACACAACTTGAAGATCCTCCTTCACTTAGATATTAGTTTTGGGAATTGGTTAAAATGTCATAATTGATGATTGGTCCATTATAACCGATCAATCATTGAAAATAATTGGTTAGCATCATTTATCAAAATTTCCTGTTATGTTAATGCTAAAAAAAATAGAGAAGAAAACATGTAGTTCTTTTGGTGTTTTTTTTTGCAAACTGCACAAAATGCATTTCACATCTTTAACTAGTATGTTAGGAACATAAATTTCCTGGAGTCTTTAAGATAAATTCAGTCATGACTTGTAACGAACTTGTAGTGCTTAAGAAATGTAAATTTAATGACACAGACAAAACCAACCTTGTGAAAAATATTGTTAATGCCAACATGTGTTTAAAAATTGTTTGTGTTCGATTATGAGAAAACATGATCGATTGTTTGCGACCAATCTTCGATTATTTCAATTAATTGGATCACCTCTATTAGATACATCACAGAAACTACTGTGACGCTGACAATTCAAGGATCATTTTCATGATGAACCTTGGACGGAAACCTGCTTAGAACTGCAAAGTCTAGGCCACCCTATCTACTACGCCCCTGCACCTTCAGTGCCCCCTGCAGTATTCAAACCCATCCTGAACCCCTTTGTGCCAGCCTATCTTCTGTTCCCCCTGCAGGATTCAAACCCGCTCTAACTATAACATATAGGCCACGGTATCTACTGTGCCACCTGCACTATTCAAACCTATTCTGAACCATACTTTGTATTTATGCCAGTCTATCTTCTGTTCCCCCTGCAGGATTCAAACCCGCTCTAAACCATGATATATATGTCGCTGTATCTACTGTGCCCCCTGCAGATGTTAAGATTCCCACGTAACATATTGTCACAACTTTAAACTTGATTTTGCACTTTGAGTCCATCTAGATATTAATCTTTTCAACCATACCTATTAATATTACAATATCATCACATAGTGAAGGGTCGGTGGGGTAGCCTGGTGGTTAAAGTGTTTGCTAGTCATGCCCTAGACACGGGTTCAATTCCCCACATGGTTACAATGTGTGAATCCCATTTCTGATGTATACCCTCCCCTGTCGTGATATTGCTGGAATATTGCTAAAAGTGGCATAAAACTAAACTCACTGACTCACAAATTGAAAACCTGTTTTTCTGAAAACGTATGGTTTAGGATGCAAAGAGCTGAACCTCATGACACAGCAACAACTTTATTAAACGGCACTTACGCGTACGGTATGATGAACAAGAGAGACAGTTCTATGGCTATACAAACTCTGCATTCGTTGTATCAAAAATTGTACACCTGTGACTTATCTGCCTTGTTTGATATTAACAATAGAGCAGGTAACCTCTAAGTATGAATGTATAGAGTGAGTGAGGGAGTTGGGTTTTACGCTAAGCAATATTCCAGCAATATCACGGCAGGGTACACCAGAAATAGACTTCACACTGTGCCCATGTGGGGAATTGAACCCGGGTCTTCAGTGCAACAAACGAATGCTTTAACCACTAGGCTACCCCACTGCCCCAGAGAACCAGCTTGGGGGAGGGTGTCAGACATTGAAGTTGCAAGCAACAGACACTGGTTAACAGACTGACAGAAACAGCTCATGCTCCCCTCACTTACCTCTATCAATAGGGGGATAGGGAAGGATGTTCGACATCTTGCAGCCTCACAACAGATGCTGTTAGCAACAATCCAAATGACAGATGACACAGCTCACATCATCAACAAAGACACAACTAACGTCCTAACTTCCCACAGAACAGTACACGATGAAGTAACCAGGATCCCTGATGTTAACTCAGTGGTCCTGACGGTCCGACTCCAAGGACCTCATGTTATCATTTCCTTATTTTCCTCGAAAAACTATCTTTATTTCCCTGTGAGCTGTTGACAGACAACAACAGCCGACAGTGTCCTTAAACAAGGGAGTCGTAGCATGACCTCTACAGACTTGTGACCCTTCACCTATGACATGGCAAGTCAACAAGGTGTGTTTGAACTCTGAGTCAATACAGAAGGTGGTCTTCAAAGTCGCGCACATGTTTTGCATGGTTTACAGTTGGAGTTTTTGCCTCGCGAGAAGTTATGTCAAACATTTCCTGCAACTGTGTCACAGCTGGACGGATTTTGAGGTGGGTGAGTTGGGCGAAGTAGGAAATATGAGATGAAGTTGAGGAAATGTCTACTGTACTGGCCCCAGCCGGGCGGTTTTGTCCACTGTGATCATCAGGAATAACAATAAGGTTGTGTTTGTGGTGTGGACAGGAAAGGACTGTGCACAACAAAAAAAATCATAACAAAAGTAAGCCAAGACGTGTTAATACGGGATTGTATCACATCTCAACCTCATTTTCAATATTTTTAGGTATTTTTTCAGTAGTTTCACACCTAATTGCTGTTACGTAAACATTGGTTCTATTTACAGAAGTACAGGACACAAAAATATGAAAAATATTATATATCTGACTTCATCCTTTTTTCTTGAGAACGTCTTTAACTATATTTAACATTACGACTGATATTTCCCCACATACAACCACAGATTTAGGCCATGACAATGTGACTTTTATCACTTACTGAGAACTTGACGTATGGGGTATAAACATCATATCGACACATGCACACATCCCATGTACCACAAGTCACTGATGTGTTGAGATGATACTATGGCTGCAAATCTTTCAGCACTTCAGAGAGCTGAGAAGATTTTTTTGAGAGCACAATGATCCACTGATCGGGTAAATTATCAAAATAGCACAATAAGCATTTACTTAGTATAGGGAATCCGTCAATCATAAATGTTAATTCTGTTGTTGTTTGGGAACAGATAATTTGAAAAACATGAATATTAAATGTTGGACTGGTATTCAAAGTTTCTTCTTTTGTTCATCAAAACATGCTGCACTTTGGTAGTTTGTCAAGTGAAAAGTGATATCCTACTCAAAAGAAGTTAGGGATCATTTGGTTCTTTCATATTACCGCCATCACAGAGAAAACACAACAAGGAAAACAATGGATAGTAATGAAATTATATGCTTGAGTGAGTTATATGCCGCTTTTAGCAATATTCCTGCAATATCACAGCAGGGGAGACCAGAAATTGGCTTTACGCATTGTACCCATGTGGGGAATTGAACCCAGGTTTTCGGCGTGACAAGCGAACACTTTAACCACTAGGCAACCCCGATACCCGACAGAGAAAGAGGACTATCCGACAGAGATAGAGGACTATCCAACAGAGATAGAAGACTATCCGACAGAGATAGAGGACTTTCCCTGCTGTCTGTATAGTATGACCAGAAATTAATGAGAATTTTAGGAATATGTTTAACTGGATTTCTAGTATAAACAACCTTGACCAGCTATTAAGTGCTTGGTTTCATTCAAGGGAGACAACTCCGTTAATCTGTTTTCATTAGTTTGTGAAGAGTTATCCCCTTTTGTTTACTTGCTAGCAGACGACATTTTCAGTGATCTTCAGTATGGATGATTTAGAGAAGAAGAAGTTGATTTTAGAGTATTATAACAAGGACATCAGATCAGCTAAAGTGATTTCAAGTAGAACAGGCATCCCTTTGTCCACTGTTTATCGTGTTTTGAATAAATATTGCAAATGGATATGGCATTGATCACCAGGGAGGCGCAGGTAGGCCCAGAAAATTGACTGTCGGTGACAGGAGGCGGCTTGGTATTCACCGATCATGAAACCTGAACAAAAGGAGTGAAGGTTGAACTGGTGCTTACAGCATAGAAATTTTAACTGGGACAATGTGCTTTTCTCAGATGAAAGTTCTGTGTGGCTGTTTCCTAATACACTGAAATTCTGGACCAAACAAACTGAAAAACTTTTGTATCAGCGCCCAAAGTACAGTCCGAAATTTAACGTGTGGGGTGGCATATCTGTGTTAGGGGCAACGCCCCTCTGTGTATTTGAAGGGAATATGAACAGTGAGCGGTACACAGATATTCTCGAGGGACATTTACGTCCATCTGCTCACGTGTTCTATGGACATGTTTGGATTTTCCAGCAGGACAACGACCCAAAACATCGTTCAAAGCATTCACAGGCCTGGTTTCGGACCCAAAATATGACATTATTAGATTGGCCAAGCCATAGCCCTGACCTAAATCCAATAGAAAATGTTTGGGGACTTATGAAGGAAACTGTCAATAAGAAAAATCTGACAAATATTGCTGAAATGAAAGAAGAGGTGGTCCGATATTGGGAAAGCATGGACAACGACTTTCTAACTTCTTTGATCAGTAGTATGCCCCGCAGCATTGAAACCTGCATTGCTTCCCATGGTGACTTGACAAAATACTAACTGTTTACCTGTCTTTGAATCTGGAGTTATGTTCTGCTAATATTCACATTTAATATGTAAGTAATGGGTGAAAACAAACAAAACATTTACAATCTTTAAATTCTCAATAATTTCTGGTTGTACTGTATATGGACGTAGCCAACAGGGCCGACAACTGTGGGTCTATGTCAAACAATGGCAGTTACAACACTTGTAGCATCAAGATTACTGTGAGTGGAGAGTAGAGGAGAGTGTTTCCTGACAACAAACAACCACTACTGTGCTGTCAAACCCTAAACAAACTACTCCTCTGTCTCCTGATGCAGTGTACCGGTAGTCAAAGAAACTGCACTTGAAGATCAACTCCAACTGAAGAGTATACACATTGACAACAACTTCCTACAGTACTTAGCTGTCATACCGTAATAGCTACAATAAATGGCCAATTATATTGTTACAAAATATTACCTTCCTCATTACAACCGGTGATCAGAATGTCTTGTATAAAAGGTATTATATCTCTGATTTCAAACTAAGTGCCCTGTGCAGGCAAACTGGGAAAACATTTTGTTCTGATTTTCAATATTTCTTAAAAAGTCATACTTTTTAAATTTTAAAAGGATGTTAATATTGCATCCAGTGCATAATCATCCTTGTCCTTATTGATGCTATTGATCAGTGGGAAATTTATAATTACAGACATTGGCTGCAGATGGGGGGCCAGTCTTAGGGTCTGGGCAGGTCCTGATCAATCCCTACTTTCCTAGCCACTGCTAATGATCATGATGCATTCTAACAAAAATTATACTACTTTCCTAGCCACAGCTAATGATCATGATGCATTCTAAAAAAATGATACTACTTTCTTAGCCACTGCAAATGATCATGATGCTTCTAAAAAAATTATACTACTTTCCTAGCCACAGCTAATGATCATGATGCGTTCTAAAAAAATGATACTACTTTCCTAGCCACAGCTAATGATCATGATGCGTTCTAAAAACATTTATACTACTTTCCTAGCCACAGCTAATGATCATGATGCATTCTAAAAACATTTATACTACTTTCCTAGCCACAGCTAATGATCATGATGCATTCTAAAAAAATGATACTACTTTCCTAGCCACTGCAAATGATCATGATGCGTTCTAAAAAAATGATACTACTTTCCTAGCCACTGCAAATGATCATGATGCTTCTAAAAAAATGATACTACTTTCCTAGCCACAGCTAATGATCATGATGCGTTCTAAAAACATTTATACTACTTTCCCAGCCACAGCTAATGATCATGATGCGTTCTAAAAACATTTATACTACTTTCCTAGCCACAGCTAATGATCATGATGCGTTCTAAAAAAATTATACTACTTTCCTAGCCACAGCTAATGATCATGATACGTTCTAAAAACATGATTCTACTTTCCTAGCCACAGCTAATGATCATGATGCATTCTAAACAAATGATACTACTTTCCTAGCCACAGCTAATGATCATGAGCTAATGATCATGATGCATTCTAAACAAATGATACTACTTTCCTAGCCACAGCTAATGATCAGGATGCATTCTAAAAACATGATTCTACTTTCCTAGCCACTGCTAATGATCATGATGCTTTCTAAAAAAATGATACTACTTTCCTAGCCACTGCTAATGATCATGATGCTTTCTTAAAAAAATGATACTACTTTCCTAGCCACAGCTAATGATCATGATGCATTCTAAACAAATGATACTACTTTCCTAGCCACAGCTAATGATCAGGATGCGTTCTAATAAAATCATACTATTTTCCTAGTTACAGACAAAAATCTTGATGCATTCTGTTGAAATTAGACTACATTCCTAGCTAGAGTTAATGACCATGGTGTATTCTGATAAATAATACCACTTTCCTAGCTACAGCCAATGGCCATGATGCATATTTTCATTATAATAGTTCTTTCTGAGCTTCATCCATGGACAAATATGCAAGTCTCTTGAAATAATACTACATTCACAGTTACAGCCAATAGTCAAAAAAAAATATACTTTCCTTGGTACTAGGTACATTCCTGGCACTGAAGTTCACCTGTTCTTCAATCAACTAGAAATCTTCAACCAGCAAAGGTTGTTTCATTGTCAAAAAAGAAACTGATTACAAAAATTCAAATATGAACAACCTTGTGTTGTAGTTGGAGGCAATGTCCATGGTGGCGATGTGGTTGTACGCCAAAATGTCGGTCTATTGTTTCCGATCACAGAGGTAGAATCGGGGAACTCATACCCTGCCATGTTGGCAGCATTAAATCCAGGCACAAGACTGCTTTCCTAACGACATGAAGGTATATCCATGATTACGTTCTCCTCGATGCCTGATGGAGCATGTAGATACTTGTTGCCGACAACTATCTATGTGTAAAACGACTAGTTATATACCAGGAAGACAAAACACTGGAGTGCATGCTGGTCTATGCACTGGGTGGAGCTTGTCAGACCTCTGTTTGATGTTTACCACAGCAAAGTGAGTGAGACAGGGAGTTTAAGTACAGTGCAATCCATTTGTCACTGCTGAAAACACCCAAAAGGCACATCTAGGGATCATGCTTGATATGTTTACCAAGTTTGATGAAGCTAGCACATATAGTTTAGGAGATCTGCTCCGGACAAGATGACATCCTCTTAGTCACAGCCTAAGTCACATTTCCATGGAAACCGCAAAAAAATAAAATTCATATCTGGGTCTAACCCCCAAAAGGCACATCTAGGGATAATGGCTGACATGTGTACCAAGTTTGGTTAAGCTATCACGAATAGTTTAGGAGATATGCTTCGGACAAAGTGTGGACGGACGCACAGACATGCGGACGGAACTCGTTTCTATATCCTCCGCAACAACAAAATTGCGGGGGATAACAAGGCCAGAGTATCAAAAGGCAACATCTCAACACTTGATCAATCTATAGAAAGACTATTGAAGAAATACTGTATGGATTCCAAGACCTGCTCCTGAAACAACATCTTGCTCTGCTGGATGACCAGACAGTTTCCATTTTCATACCCCCAACATGTGGAATAACAAGTTATATTCCCAGGGACCGATTCTAACCCGGAATTCCAGCAGGATGGCTTATCATCAACACCATGGTTACCATAACACACAATATTCCAGATTACACATAAAAAGCTTCAAATCTGCATTTATCTGATACCACAGGGTTGTAAGATGTTTTTTTCTCCTACAGCCAGCATTAGTGATGTCATCTATGCTGCCTGAAATCTGATCAGGGTGCTAAGATGAAACTGCCCACCACACAGAGGAGACCTCTTGTCCAAGTGGATGCCACAGGGTTGTAAGATGTTGTGAAACTGCCTACCAGAGAGAGAGGACCTTTTGTCCAAGATGGTTGCCACAGGATACTAAGATGTTGTGAAACTGCCTACCACAGAAGGAGGACCTTTGGCCAAGTGGAGATGTTGTGAAACTGCCCACCCAGAGAGGGGGGATGCCACTGTTGTGAAACTGCCTTGAAAATGCCTGGGATACTAAGATGTTGTAAAAGTGCCTACCACAGAGAGACGACCTTTCATCTGAGTTGTCGCCACAGTGGTCATAGCTGTCACACGTGAGGTCGTCAGAGATGCAGCGTCCATTAAAACACTTGAAGTCACGGGATCGACATGCTCCTGCATCAGAGAAAACAACATCTGTACATTTTAGTCCTTAATCATTTCATAAAGCTTATATGTACACTGTAAAATCTCGAACACTACTGAATACTAGTCTTGGAGGTTCAAAGTGTATCACAATATATTGCAATACACAAAGCTGTATTGCTATAAGTACCACAATATATTGTATAATTCCAAACTTTGAATACAGAAACAATCATAAACATCATTCCATGAAATGAAATTCATAAATAGAATAAAACAAAATGTTGGTGATAACAGCCAAGTCGTGGATCTTGTTGATGGAAGTGTATGTGCATAAGGGAGGTAACTGAGAATTCACTTTTTATCTTCATGGACTTGCAATTTGAAATTGCAGCAACATTTCAAAGGTGTTTGGCAAGTGTGTAATGTCAAACACATGATAAAAATCTTTATCTCAAACCAACCGATATACCGAGCATTAAGAAATAATGATAATATGATATGTAACATAAAAGTATGTACCTCAATAGACCGATATACTTATAGCACCCTTATAATACTAAATAGAAGAAAGTATGTTCACAACAGTCAGAAATGTCCTCCATTAACCATGGTTATCTCCCTTTGTCTACATCCAGCTCCAAACTAAGAAACATAGCTTCCTGACACCGTTGTCGAAAATGAAGAATGTTAATGATATATATCGCTAGAAACGTATTTATAGTTAATGAACCATGTCCAAACTGTACCTCCGAAGAAAAATATAGCCTGTTACATCAACTTTTTCGTCGGCTTATCTAGTGGTAACACTTTTTAAAAACTGTTTTTGTGGTGACCAGTAAGAAAACGACATTGTATCGTTTCGCATGAATGAACAAAAGAAAACAACGTTGTAAGTGGAGACGTCAAATTTGCAATTAAACATCACTAGACAAGATTATTTGCCTTTTCATTTCTAATTTGTTTTTGCTAGGCATTGTATTATATGCAGGGATTAAGCTTACTGTGTGTATCTGTCTTGTATATAGAGCAGGAACTAGCAATCACACACATTTGCATATGTTTCCTAGTGATCTACCGGTGATTTAGATAAAACATTTTGATACTGATTTTAAGAGGCAAGTTAGGGAGTCTACGGTAATATACGGTAATGCACTCCACTCAACATAACAAAACAGTAACTCCTGTGTCAAACTTTGATGTATCAAAATTACGGTTGTCTCAAAGTAAAGTTTGGTTCCTTCGTATGCTTTGTTTGTATTGCTGATTTTCGACACAACCCAAAAAATATACATAAACAAAGCAAACGAAGGGACCAAACTATATTATGTAAGTATTTAGTAAGACCCATCAACTGTGACAGAATGGTTTTTGTACTAAAATCTACTAAAAGATGTCAAAAGATTTGAGAAAGAGGACAAAATTTGGGCACAGATGCACATACTGACCAGCCCCCATGTTTTCACCCAACAAGTCCCCTGTGTTTCATGACAATGTCGCATCGCATTGACTCACCATAGCTGTAGGAGGAGTAGGCCAGAACAAAGTCACGGGCGTTCTGGTACCGGCCCTGAAGCCGGATGTAAAACCCACTGTTGTTCACAAAGCCATGGTTCTTGTAGCGATCCAGGTTCTCATACTTCACCAGCGCCACCTGCCCACCAAGGGAGGTAAGTCCTCCCCGAATCTCCACTCGGTCCCGCTGTTGTGGGTAGTACACTGAGAACAATGAGTGGAATTTTAGAAATTTTCGGCTTTTTAATGTAGGAATGTCAACCATTTGTCAATGTTATTCAATATACTCACTGATATTTTTGACAAGTTGGTCAAAATCATTGTGAGTGAACAAATACTTTGATAACAAGATCTTTGACAAATACTGGTGGATATGGTGACCCAAAACATTCTGATTCTTTGTTTTGATTCTTTAAGTTGTTTTTAGTAGTACATCATTATATAGTTACAGATATTTTGCCTTCTTTGAGACTTCATTCGCCTGAGTGAGTGAGTGAGTGAGTGAGTGAGTGAGTGAGTGAGTGAGTGAGTGAGTGAGTGAGTGAGTGAGTGAGTGAGTGAGTGAGTGAGTGAGTGAGTGAGTTTAGTTTTACACCGCACTCAGCAATATTCCAGCTATAAGACGCGGTCTGTAAATAATCGAGTCTGGACCAGACAATCCAGTGATCAACAGCATGAGTCATCTGCCTGAATATTGACACTCTGACACATATTGACAAATATTGACGCTCTGCTAGTGTCGGAAGTAGAGACAATTTACGCTGACGTCAATGCCCAATATGCCAGCTGAAAAAGGGGTATTAAACAAAAAAGATGAATTATACATAAACATTCCCAAAGTTAATCATCCTGAAAGCAGAAAACCGTTTCCATCTTCCATAGGCAAGGGAGTTAACTGACTAAAAGAGTTTCCACCCTTGTCAAACTCAGCTGGAATTGTGGAGTATATTTTGGCTGGACCAATGAGTCTGTACATAGTAATATCAAAATCATTTGTAACAAAATCAACATTCTGTTTAAGAACATGGCAACTGTCATGAAGATTTCAGTCAACTGCACAAATTGAAAACTCATGAATTGTTAAGTGGGCACCAACAGATATTTTCCAAATCTTTTCATGATTTTAATCAAGGTGCTCAGTGTTCTGGTGCACTCCGCAAAGTAAGATCCTTTTCACTAGAATGGAGACCATGATTGTATGGTCTTTGCAGGACAGAGAAGGAATGTAACTCATATTAGCCACTGAATGCTCAACAATGAAACCACTCACTTCCTGCTTAGTTCAGTAATGGTGGAAATTTTACTTCTATAGTTAGTTAACTCCTTTGCCTATTGAAGATGAGTGAGTGAGTGAGTGAGTGAGTGAGTTTAGTTTTACGCTGCTTTTAGCAATATTCCAGCAATATCACGGCGGGGGACACCAGAAATGGGCTTAACACATTGTACCCACGTGGGGAATTGAACCCGGGTCTTCGGCGTGACGAGCGAACGCTTTAACCACTAGGCTACCCCACCGCCCCTATTGAAGATGATACAGTGTCTGGATTACCAGTGTTTCACTGTATAGGTGTGTATGATTGAGATTACTCACTTGGAGAACTGTCATATTCGACAATTTTGACTTGGACCATGCTGTACTCCGAGTGGCGTTGGATCACCCATATACAGTCATAGTACTCATTGGTGCTCATCACAGGGTTAAAGGTCACCACGCCTCCTTCCTTGTTCTTCAAGAATCCTCCACAGTCTGGACAGACAAAAAAAAATTAAACACATACACCCACAGAGTATAACAAATGAGTGAGTGAGTGAGTGAGTATTGCTTTATGCTGCTTTTAGCAATATTCCAGCAATACCATGGTGGGGACATCTGAAATGGGCTTAATACATTGTACCCATATGGGGAATCGAACCCAGGTCTTTGGCATGACAATTTAACCACTAGGCCACCCCACCTCCCCTACAACCACAAAGTATCACAAATGACAACAAGGTGTAATTGTGCCAGTTACATTAATGTTACTGTGAAGAGTATTTTAATTAGCACGGTTACATCTACTTAATGTAGGAGGAAGTCTAAAGTGATACAGGTCGCAGACATTTTCCACTTTAGGGTGGCTAACCAAGAAACATAATCGGGGCAATCAAGATATCTTGCACACCAAGGGATGTAACTCTGCACAATGAAGGCATTATCTGCTTGATGATCAGGTGAATCAATCTTCAAAAAACAAGGTGGTTGATATAAAATTTACAAAATTAACTTTGGGGCTGAATAAAAAGTAGCTGGTATTTGTGCAACAGAAACTATTTAGGAGCTGTGATTTTATAAGAAAGCTGGGATTTTATATAAAAGATCAAATTTTCAATAAAACCCTTTTTGCAAACCTGCAAACCAGTTTTAATACCACTACACAAACCTGTGATAGGTCTCTCTGTGTGGCGCCGATCTGAAAGGTAAGAAATCCATGTTAGAAATGTTCTCCATCTAGTCAACCAGAGTTATTTCCCTTTGCCCTTCTTAGCCTTTGTACAGATACACTGCATCTCATACCAGCCAACTGGAAACCATTGGTTTACAATGTGAGGTAACTTCTATACCATTAAAATGCACAGTTCCCTCAACGTAGCGCTACGACTGTCCTAAGTCTATGTTAAAGTATGTGAGTTACGATCACCTTAGCTATACGATCGCTTTGTGAAAGGGGACCCTGGTAACCAAATCCTTATTTTATTCACATTATATTTGGCAACAGACAAAAATACTTTATTTTGTTTTCAAATGGAAAAAAACATCATTGCACAGTTGACATCAATTGAAAAACCAATTCATTTGTTGTCATGAACTCACTATTTTCAAAAGAATAGGTGGCTTTAAAGCCAATGAAGTTGCGATTAGATGAGGATAGCTGTGTCCCAGTTCTGAACTTGACAGTGAGCTCAGGACCATCTGACACAACCACTGGGCGACTGCTTGATCCATAGATCGGGCCAACAATGTCACTCTTCAGGAACTGAAACCAGAAACAACAGATATATATTTCACTGATTTCAAAAATTTAAAACCCCAGTCAATAGACATTTTCCCAAACCCCGTTCATAACTTTATATTCTAACCAGGGGAATTCCGCCAGGCAATTTTGTTGGAAAGTACGCTGGCTTTTCTTTTCATCATATGCCTGTTGTTGCTGAAGATTGTCTTTTTTACTTTTTGCTTTTTTTGGTGGCGGTGCCACAATCGCCAAGAAACGATGCATTTTGAAATTGAAGCACTCAGAAAATCTCGGAAAATTTAGACATACGCTAAACTTACATTCACATGTTGTCGTGTTCACTCGTTATTTTTATTCATTCATTCATATATATTTTTGAACGCTCAAAACCTGTAAATTATATTGACAGCCTTAAATATGTACTAGACAGTTGGGATAGCACTTATCAAAGTTGCACTGGTCCTGTCAACATTTTACTAGACCCGGGCCAGTGGGATAGCGTCAACTCACCCACAAAATAGACCTTGGAGACATGTTCCAGTCGTCAAAGTTCAGTACAATGTACTCGTCGCTGTTGACGGCCGTGAACTGGTAGATGTACACTTCATCATTCTCTGTATAGAAGTTGGGGAAAGCCGGAGACGTTATGTATTTGGGGTCCGAGGGCGGGTCATAGGCTGATCCACGAATAGTTTTCTTCTTTTCTGAAATCCACAGACTCAGTGTTCAAACTAACATAAACGAAAATAAGAATCTGATTCTATCATATATAGTAAACTACAGTTACAGCAAAACTCAAACGGACTTCTCAGTTAAGTTTGTAACAAACATTGTTTTTCTGCATATTTGTACTGAATAAACAGCATATGGCTGGAACAGAAACAGTTTGCAATATCTGTCAGCTCATTATAAGTGGACCGCCTCCGTGCAGTAGTGGTTAGAGCATCCGCCCGGAGAGCGGAAGGTCGCAGGTTCGATCCCCGACCGCGTCATACCAAAAGACGTTAAAATATGGTACTTGTTGGTCCCTGCCTGGAGCTCGGCATTAATGGGTACATCAAGGACTGGTCAGCTTGGAGTCAGTATAATGTGTCTGAGTGGGGTATTCATGCTTCACTGCGGCATGGTATCTCAGTGGGCTAGCACTATAAAACCAGCTTAAGTCTGGGCTAGTACAAGCAGCCGCACATACACATACACACGCATGCACGTCGTCATATGAGCGAAATATTCTCAAGCCGTTAAACCCAATTTCACCTCACCTCATTATGAGTGTAATCATCATAAACATTGTTTACTGTACTACTAAAAAGAAGGTAATAGCCCCTAACCTTGAAATAAGTTCAAGAACACGCAATTATTTCACAAATTTCTCAAGATTGGTTAAAGAACATACACATTCGTATTTAGGCCAGACCAATTTTATTTCTTGTTTTACGGATTTGTGTACTCAGAAAACCTGAAAGCAGGGGAAAAAAACTAAAACTAAAACTAAATAAATACTAAAAGTATTTTACTTTTGGCAATTTATGAAGTGTCTATGGAGCAAAACACAATCTAAAAAACTTTTCTTGTAAATTTACATTTTTGACCAATAAAACATAAGGATTTTATTTTTTGAGCGATGAAAATTAACTTTTTTTAATTTTTTCTTATTCTTGATCTGTAAAAAAAGAAATAAAGTTGGTCTGGCCTTACTATGGAAAAGAAGAACAAAGGCACTTGGGTTGTATACTCCCAGGGAGCTGAGAATGATTGTTGAGCACACACTGTTCACTGACTGTGGTAATAATATTCACACTTTGAGCACACATCATGTATACGGAACCTAACGCAATATCAGTACACAAATTATTGTTGTCAAGTTTTTCATAGACTTATGACCCTTGCTACATGCATTTCAACTTAGTGTGCGTTTTCAAATCAATCTGAGATTTTACACACCAGTGATACTGCTCATGATCTAAAACTAGTTCCAATTTTGATTTTTTAAATTAATTTCTTACTAAGTTTTGCCCCTGCTCCATGCTTTTCAACTTATCAATGGGGACAAGTTTTCTCAGAAACCAGTGAAGTTAAATGAATGAAATATTTGCATATCGTAATAAAGAAGTTGAATATCCATAGCACTATCTGTCTTGTTCATAACTCCAGATTATCGATCACCACCCACTCACTCACTTATATACAAGCCAAATCAGCCCATTAGGCAGTATAACATAAATCTGGTTATTCTACCCCTTGTGATATAACAATATCTATGCTGGTTCCATCACAGAGGAAACATAAGTCATGTCATTGACAAGGTATGTAATAATCCATGTTATCACACTGCCATTATACATACTGACTGTTCTTCATTAACTGCACATCATCAACAATGCATGTATAAAACTGGATGACATACACACGCAGGATTGATGGCAACATATCTTGCTGTCAGTGTCTTACCAACGACTGTGAGCTGAAGACTCAGATGTATATCCTTCACCATGCTTCGGTCAGAACACACGACAATGTAGATCTTCTTTGACAACGTGTAAAAAGGGGTCTGTGGCCACGGCGTCGAGGTGAATGCCCGGGACGTCTCATTCATATAGTCGGGGTCAAACAGTTGTAGGTATGTGCACCTGAAACAAACAGGTTGTTGTCATGGCAAATTGACAGTTGTCATGGTGAAATAGATAGTTGTCACGATGACAGTTTCCATAGTGAAACAGGTAGTGTTGGGAATTGCTTGAAATCTCACAATTGATGATTGCTTCATTACCAACGAACAATCATCGAAAAAAAATGGTTAGCGTCATTTTACAGATTTTCCTATCCAGGTTGTTATTGCAGATAAATATAACATGATTCAACTAGCTAATTTAAAGTGATGACTAATATATCATGAACATAAACATTCTGGAATCTTAGAGAAATATTCAGTTATGACTTTTCAGTTAGTGAAGTGAGTTTTCTAAGAATGAAACATGTTTTCAGGCCCTGACAACTTCAAAGATCTGTTCCATTGTCAAGTGTTTCAAAGACTGAAACAATAGTTCCAAAATCATTTATGTTTGATTATGAGAAAATGTGATCCGATTGCTTGGTTGTTCGGTCACTGCGACCAATCTTTGATTATTTCAATTAATCGGAACACTACTAGAAACAGGTAGGTGTCATGATAGCAGATAGCTAAATGTGTAGATGTGAAACAAGTAGATCGCTATATGTGTACATGTGAAACAAGTAGATAGCTATATGTGTACATGTGAAACAAGTAGATAGCTATATATGTACATGTGAAACAAGTAGATAGCTATATATGTACATGTGAAACAAGTAGATAGCTATATATGTACATGTGAAACAAGCAGATAGCTATATATGTATATATGTACATGTGAAACAAGTAGATAGCTATATATGTACATGTGAAACAAGTAGATAGCTATATGTGTACATGTGAAACAAGTAGATAGCTATATATGTACATGTGAAACAAGCAGATAGCTATATGTGTACATGTGAAACAAGTAGATAGCTATATATGTACATGTGAAACAAGCAGATAGCTATATGTGTACATGTGAAACAAGAAGATAGGTATATAGATATGAAACAAGCTATATATGTACATGTGAAACAAGTAGATCGCTATATGTGTACATGTGAAACAAGTAGATAGCTATATATGTACATGTGAAACAAGTAGATAGCTATATATGTACATGTGAAACAAGCAGATAGCTATATATGTACATGTGAAACAAGTAGATAGCTATATATGTACATGTGAAACAAGTAGATAGCTATATATGTACATGTGAAACAAGTAGATAGCTATATATGTACATGTGAAACAAGTAGATAGCTATATATGTACATGTGAAACAAGTAGATAGCTATATGTGTACATGTGAAACAAGTAGATAGCTATATATGTACATGTGAAACAAGCAGATAGCTATATATGTACATGTGAAACAACAAAAGTGAAAAGACAACAAAGGAGGTCTCTTTACAAGGGAAGCCAGTAGTTGAAAGGTGAAAATTGTAGAAAGAGATAGGAAAATGCTTCACGATCGTAGATGAAAAGTCTAATGAATACTTCAACCCAATCATACTGTGTAAGTGCCAAGCCCTTGTTAGTGGTACAGCCAGGAGTGCTATTTTACCATCACACTGAATGTTAGTTAGCAACAATATTAGTCAACATCTGCTAGTTCTATACAACTTAAAAAAGTTTTAGGATCACCCAATTCTTTCATATCACTATACTTAATCTGCCATGAGATATGTCTAGAATATGTATGAAAATTAAAATTCACCAGATTTGATCAGCAATAACTAGGTGAGTCAACTATCCATAAAACCCAAGCAACACTTTGCAATGCATCCAAACCACCTGTAAATAGGGACAATCAGTTATGTGACATATAATTAACTATCACTAGACATATCATGAGATTCAGCTTTGTTCAACATGAAAGATACAAAATACTCTTATTAAAAGGGGAGTAGTATATTATTCACCATGCAGTATTGCCATGGAAACAGATCAATTACAACAAATACAATAGACCTAGATCCTACACTGTACCTGAGAGGCTGACCATGCTTATTGATCAGAAATGATCATGCACACAGCAAGTGGCTCTGATTGTGCATCAAATATTAAAACTTGCAGGTATTTCAGTGCTCAATCGTAGTCCCAAATGACCTGGCAACCGTTCCGCAAGACTGAAATACCATCATTTGCGTGGGCTTGGTTTTTCAAATGGTATATATATCATTTTCTATAGAATCTAATACTGATTGCTCCTAAAGGATGATTAATAATTGATTTCGTCTTTCATTTATCAGACAGGTCAACCAAAACTATCTCCAACAGCCTGACATAGGTTATATATTACATCCAGTAGCCTGACATAGAATATATACCACATACAGTAGCTGACATAGGTTATATATCACATCCAGTAGCCTGACATAGGTTATATACCACATACAGTAGCTGACATAGGTTATATATCACATCTAGTAGCCTGACATAGAATATACACCACATACAGTAGCTGACATAGGTTATATATCACATCCAGTAGCCTGACATCGGTTATATACCACATACAGTAGCCTGACATAGGTTATATACCATATCTAGTAGCCTGACATAGGTTATATACCACATACAGTAGCCTGACTTAGGTTATATATCACATACAGTAGCCTGACATAGGTTATATATCATATCTAGTAGCCTGACATAGGTTATATACCACATACAGTAGCCTGACATAGGTTATATATCATATCTAGTAGCCTGACATAGGTTATATACCACATACAGTAGCCTGACATAGGTTATATACCACATACAGTAGCCTGACATAGGTTATATACCACATACAGTAGCCTGACATAGGTTATATACCACATACAGTAGCCTGACATAGGTTATATACCACATACAGTAGCCTGACATAGGTTATATACCACATACAGTAGCCTGACATAGGTTATATACCACATACAGTAGCCTGACATAGGTTATATACCACATACAGTAGCCTGACATAGGTTATATACCATGTATAGGTTATCATACCTAGTAGCCTGACATAGGTTATAGCACATATATATGACTTTTATGCACTCCAGTAGCCTGACATAGGTTATATACCACATACAGTAGCCTGACATAGGTTATATACCACATACAGTAGCCTGACATAGGTTATATACCATATCTAGTAGCCTGACATAGGTTATATACCACATCCAGTAGCCTGACATAGGTTATATACCACATACACTTCTACCTCCAGTAGCCTGGATTAAGCTTTTACCTTCGGGTCGCCACTATACAGTGCCAATCACCAAGACTAAACAAGCTCGAACATCTTTGTACCTCAAAGTATAGCAATATTAAATAAATGTTGAATGTCCAGGTATCATCTTATTCATTTAATTATATTTTAGCACATATTTATCTCTTTTTATGCTTTCAGTAATGTCATATTTATATTTTGCTATTCAGTTGTATTTTGGTCAAGCTCTGTGAACCTCCAGAAGCCTGACATATGTTATATACCATGTATGCTACTCTACCTCCAGTAGCCTGACATAGGTTATATACCACTACCTCCAGTAGCCTGACATAGGTTATATACCACTACCGCCAGTAGCCTGACATAGGTTATATACCACTACCGCCAGTAGCCTGACATAGGTTATATACCACTACCTCCAGTAGCCTGACATAGGTTATATACCACATACACTACTACCTCCAGTAGCCTGACATAGGTTATATACCACTATACCAGTAGCCTGACATAGGTTATATACCACTACTGCAAGTAGCCTGACATAGGGTATATACCACATACACTACTACCTCCAGTAGCCTGACATAGGTTATATACCACTACTGCCAGTAGCCTGACATAGGTTATATACCACTACCGCCAGTAGCCTGACATAGGTTATATACCACATACACTACTACCTCCAGTAGCCTGACATAGGTTATATACCACATATACTACTACCTCCAGTAGCCTGACATAGGTTATATACCACTACTGCCAGTAGCCTGACATAGGTTATATACCACATACACTACTACCTCCAGTAGCCTGACATAGGTTATATACCACTACTGCCAGTAGCCTGACATAGGTTATATACCACTACCGCCAGTAGCCTGACATAGGTTATATATATATACCCCATAGCCTGACTACTACCTCCAGTAGCCTGACATAGGTTATATACCACTACTGCCAGTAGCCTGACATAGGTTATATACCACATACTACTACCTCCAGTAGCCTGACATAGGTTATATACCCCATATACTACTACCTCCAGTAGCCTGACATAGGTTATATACCACTACCTCCAGTAGCCTGACATAGGTTATATACCACATACACTACTACCTCCAGTAGCCTGACATAGGTTATATACCCCATATACTACTACCTCCAGTAGCCTGACATAGGTTATATACCACTACCTCCAGTAGCCTGACATAGGTTATATGTCACATACACCACTACCTCCAGTAGCCTGACATGGGTTATATACCACATACACCTACTACCTCCAGTAGCCTGACATGGGTTATATACCACGTAAGCTACTACCTCCAGTAGCCTGACATGGGTTATACATCATGTAGACTACAACCTCCAACAGTCTAACATGTATCCAATCACACTGGGTAACATGAATCTTCACTCACCCTGGAGCACACTGTCCTCCATAACTTCGTAACATGTTGTTCCACAGACAGTTCTGGTATCGGAAGTTGCCGATGGGTTCGACGCGGAAGCTGCAGTTATTGCAGGTGGTGAATCGCATGAAACAGTGGTACTTGGCTTCGGGGCTTGCACCCGTCAGGTTGATGTACACCCTGGACGTGTCGTTGATCTCGGGGAAGTAATCGCCATTCACTGTAAACCCTTGCTTCACATCACACAAGTTGTAAGCTGTGGACAAACAATCACTGGTTGTTCATGTAAAGCAAACTGTTGTTCATATGAACACTTCTTCAAAAAGTATTTCTATAACATCACAAGTCAAGTAAAAGACTGAGTAAGTATGTTTGTACAGCACTTTTATCACTATTCTAGCAATATCACGGCAGGGGACACCAGAAATGGACTTCACACATTGTACCCATTTGGAGATTCAAACCCGGATCTTCGGCATGAAGAGACAACAGTTTAACCACAAGGTTATCTAACTGCCCACTCAAGTGATAGAACAAAAACCAAGACTGAATAAAAGCTATGCCAGGGTTTTGTGTACAAAACAAGGATGAAACTCTGGCACTTGGACCTAAATGAGTTAAAATTTAGTTAGTTTCACAAAATACCTGTTGACAAAGGACAGTAAAAGAGCCGTTCTTGGACTTAACCCATGGTATTATTTAAGGCAACCAAGGGACACAATTCTATGAGTGAGTGAATGAGTTTCGTTTTACGTCACTTTTAGCAATGTTCCAACAATATCACGGCGGAGGACATGAAGTTTCATGAAGATTAATCATCAACAAACAGTACATGTATAGGCTCAACACAAGGTATAACTATGTTCAGGTGCAGTTTAATATAATACAGCCCCCAATACATTGAGCAGGGAGCTGACGTAACATCTTAGCATGTCTGTTTTTTAGCGCAGTGCTCAGCAATATCTAAGCTACATGACTGCAGTCTGTATATTGTCAAGTCTACACCAGACAACTTAGTGATTGACAGTTTCAGTATTGATCTTTGCAGGGAAAGACTTCCGCCTGTATCCCCCCTTAAATTTCATTCTAGTCAAATAATGTCACCTGAATATATATTGCTCATCTGATAAGGATGAGTTTTAACATGTTTCTTTAATTGTATCTGAACTTACCGAAAGACATATCCAACTTCTAACAGGGGTGGAAATAACTTTAAAATTGCTAGTGTACTCCGGTACAGTGGCACATGTGAAATCACTTGCCCTGAAAATTTTTCCACTATACCGGCTATTTTCTTGTTGAATTTTTAAATAAACAACATAATTAACATTAGAAAATCAACTGGACGCCGGTACAGTGTGATATACAAATTTGCTTGCCCGACAGAAAAACGACGTCGGGCAATGGGTTATTTCCACCCCTGTCTAAACATGCCACTCAAAGAAATTTTTCCTCATCATTAAAATTTCGGGGGGATGGGGGCGGAAGTCTTACCCTTTGCAGTTGGGATAGGATGACCTGCATTAACTCTGTGTCCCTCACCACCTGATCGCGATACTTGCTTCTTATGACAAGTATGGATTGATGAATACCAATTCTAACCAGGATCTTCACTCACACCATCTTAGCTATCGCCAACTAAAATCTGTACTTCACAAATTATTGAAACTGATAAACAGGAAGAGTGAATGTGATAAGACCAGGACAGAGATTCAGCACCAATTCTTGCTATATCACAGTTATTGACACAATGAATCAGCTACACACAACACATGTTTACCAAAACAAAGTCCAATGACTAAACGACGAAACTATCCAAAGTTTTGAAATAGCATATGCAAATCTGAGGCTAGTCAAAGTCCAGAAGGGCATCAAGTCTGGATTACTAGTTGACCATTAGGCAACTCTGTGGTAGACCATTTCTGCAGATTATTGAAAATACAAACTCATTTCTAACCCTGCTAACAGTACCTTACAGAATTCAAACCAAGAGATACTGTATGTCATATGTAAAAACATACTAATTTCTAAAAAGATATTTTGGTCAGACCTACTTGAGGTGAGCATATAACATTTTACAAGTGTGTTGACAAAAATGACTGACAGAGCATGGTCACATCAACACCACTTGTCAAATAGTTTAATAAGAAATAATGAATGTTTAAACTATTCTGAACTGAAATAACTGACGGGATGAGTTGACAACAATGCTGGACTGATGTCCAAGTTACTTCAACACATGCACAGTGTATAGGTAGACTCACATGGCTCGACTCCTGTTGCTAGTCTGAACACGTTCAGAACACCTGGAAATAAAACATATAACATAGAGATACTACTGTCTAGTCAACTGATTATGGGGAAACAAAAAATACCACAGTCATAAAGCATAAAATGCAATAGAAATTAATGTTAAAACACTGTGAGTGTTACACTAAACTAAATACTATCAAGATAGCTGTTTTAAATATATGATATGCACTTGAAAAATACTGAATGAAATGTTAATAAAGAGTCTTATGGTAAATGTTTCAATGCAATTGGCTGATACAGTTTGGGGGGAGTGCAGAGGTACAGATAAGCTGCGTATCTGGCGTAAATTACGCAAACATTTATGTGAAAACCCAATTCCTATTAAGTCTATTGCGTACAAGTACGCTTGAAGTTTTGTAAATACTCAATAAATGTGATCTTACATGCGTACACACAAAAATGTCCAATCGTAGCTTGTGTACCGGTGGATAGATAAAATAACTGACGTATATTGAGAGGTTCTATTTTAGGACATGAACTTGACAACCTGCAGTCTTTCTTATCATTTCTCATATTACAGATCAAAGGTAAATCACAAACACTAACATTTAAACTACATTATATTTTTAAAATTAATGGAAATTGGCACAATACCCAAATGAGTTTGATTGAGGTGAGTACAATTTATTTCGTTACTCAAAGGAAAATTAGGATACCCAATTGAGATGAACACAAGGGAGTACATAACTCAATGACCCAAAACGTTATCTGTAGCTCTGGGAGTGGGATGAGCCCGCTTTTAAAGACATCTTAAATGTTCACTGAGACAGGCCATAAGCATAGTAAGTCACTTCATGGCTTGTACATATCCTTCCTCCTTCCAATCTTGCCATCTCTTATAACATTACTGCAGCAGTTACTTGACATAGGAAATTATATTCCCTTAGAGTCTTCCTCTACGTCTGTCCAATATGACAGTGAGTGAGTGAGTGATTTTACGCCGCTTTTAGCAATGTTCCAGCAATATCACAGCAGGGGACACCAGAAATCATTATATGATAGGACTCAGTGCTTGATAATTACATAAAATCCACTGGTTCTTGAGCTGGCTTCACAGGAAGTGATGGCAGCCTTTTGATATTTGTCAAAATGTCATGTGTGGATAATTCCATAAGGAGGATTGAAGATACTGATACATCAAAATACAGAACGTGTGATGTTTAACTTTTGTTTTGTTGGTTTGTTTTATGCTGCACTCAGCAATACTCCCACTATATGGCAGCAGTCTGTTAATAATGGAGTCTGGACCAGACAATCCAGTGATCAAACATAATAAGCATCAATTTAAGCGATTGGGATATGATGACATGTGGCAACCAAGTCAGCAAGCCTGACCAACCAATCCCATTGGTTGTCTCTTCCAACAAACATGAGTTGAAAAAAAACAACTCTACCCAAGATCTTCACGGTGATGTTCAACTATTTCCCAGGGCCTTGATTTTCGAAGCTCTCTTAGTGCTCAGATAGTTGTAAGTGCCATACATTAACATTAACTTACGACTATCTTAGCGCTAAGAGAGCTTCGAAAATCAAGGCCCAGGTGTATACATATAATTATGTTAATAAAATACATCTAGTGTAAAAATACATGATACTGACGCAACTGCCCTGCATATTCATTGAACAGATAACCAAAATATTTCGAAGCAAGTCAACAATTCTGTCACTGAGCATTTGTTGGAATGAACACGGTTAATTGTTCACCATGACATGAGGCCTTACCTAGCAGGACCAACATCAGCAACATCATGACAATGGACATCGTTGACTGTGTGTCTGTCACTGGTCTGCAGCCTTATCCCATATTGTGCATCTGTAACATACATAGATATGATTAGCAAGTGTTGGCAACTTGACAAAAACTACAACAACATGACTAACAATGGATGGCAACTCTACAACATCAGCATCAGCAACAACATCAGCAAGGTAAACAGGTGATGGCACTCTACAAAACCAACAACATCGGCATCAGCAAGGTCAACAGGTGATGGCACTCTACAAAACCAACAACATCGGCATCAGCAAGGTCAACAGGTGATGGCACTCTACAAAACCAACAACATCAGCATCCGCAACATCAGCATCTGCAAGGTCAACAGGTGATGGCACTCTACAAAACCAACAACATCAGCATCAGCAACATCAGCATCAGCAACATCAGCATCAGCATCAGCCAATGCTTCAACCACTAGGCTACCCCATCGCCCCAGGTCAACAGGTGATGGCACTCTACAACACTAACACCAACAATATGAACAACAGGTGATTGCAATCTTGCTTGACAACGGTATAAGAATCCATACCGAAATGTTGCATTATATATAATAAAAGAAGTTGTTATCCATAAAGAATCTTACTTTCTTAGTAGGTGATTGCAGCTCAACATTTTTGGTGATCACAGGGACAGAAATGTATCATTCTTATCCTGTACAGCATGTCAGTACTTACAGGACCCTTACAATCCCTTTAAAAACCCTTGGAATTGAAGACTGGGGTCAGAGGACTAATTTTGGAGTGAGTGAGTGAGTTTAGTTTTACGCAGCTTTAAGCAGGATTCCAGCAACATCACAGCAGGGACACCAGAAATGGGCTTCACACATTGTACCCATGTGGGAAATGAACCCGGGTTTTCGGCATGACGAGCGAACGCTTTAACCACTAGGCTACTCCACCGCCCCTCCTAATTTTGGAGGTCAAGGTAAAATCATTATGAATGTTCCACATACCATAAGGATATCTTAGCACTAAGGTTATACTTATCTCCTATACTTACGATAGTCGCTAAGATGGCTGTATTGATTAGCCCTGGTAATATTATATCACTAGCTGTTTCATCATTACACATGCACTCAGACCAAGAAGGGCCGGGATCACAGCAATCTTCCCCTATCTTCCTGCACTACATGCATGTAAGGAAATAAGCCCTCTACTACTGGCTGACCTGACACAGAGAGGTCAGGTAGTGGTGGTGTCAACAGAAAGTAAAATCTGCTATCATATAACCTAATAAAACACTCATGTCCAGCAGAAACAATAAACTTACCGAGAGAATTCTCAGTAATGTTCAATAAAACAGATTGACATTTTTATGACACATGTTGCCATATTATAAGCTGCACTTGACCCACAAGCACCCGATCAATAATATTGAACCAACTACATACATGTATATTTACCAGCATCAACACATCACTGATCACATCCAGATGTACAACGTACTTGAAAACCTTCAGGGTTGCCGGGTTGGCGTCAGATACTTTTACTTTAGATAATCATTTATCTACGACTCCACACGATGTGCCCTTGACAGGCAATTGGGAAAAAATTGTTATTTTGTTTAAAAGTGGGATTTGTATAAGTTACTAATATTTTCTTTAATTTCCATTGTATATAAACATTACATTTGATGTAAACTGGCCATAAATATTCCTTTATTGGTTGGTTGGTTGTTTAACACTGCATTCAGCAATATTCCAGCTATATGGCAGTGGTCTGTAAATAATTGAGTCTGGACCAGACAATCCTGTGATCAACATCATGAGCATCGATTTACGTAATTGGATAAGATGACATGTGTCAACCATGTCTGCGAGTCTGACCACCCTTTCCTATTAGTCGCCTGATATGACAAGCATGGGTTGCTGAAGACCAATTCTAACCCAGGTTCTTCACAGGTGAAATATCACTTGAAGAGGAACAATATCATACCAGCTTCTAAATGCCACAAGAAATGTACTGCTCTTGTGACCAGTGAAATACAAGTGATATCCACAAAGTCCTCCGAGGCAGTTGGGTAACCTTTAGGCTAAAGCATTCGATTGTCACGCTGAAGAGTGAGTGAGTGAGTGAGTTTGGTTTTACGCCGCTTTTAGCAATATTCCAGCAACATCACGGCGAGGGACACCAGAAATGGGCTTCACACATTGTACCCATGTGGGGATTCGAACCCGGGTCTTCGGCGTGACGAGCGAATGCTTTTACCATTAGGCTACCCCACCGCCCCCTTCACACTGAAGACCGGGTTCGATTCCCAACAAGTGTACAATCTGTAAAGCCCAATTCAGGTGCCCCCGTCATGATATTGCTGGAATATTGCTAAAAGCGATGTAAAACTCACTCACAAACCCCCTCAATCTGATATGGCTGTATTGTATATGTATAAACAAGTCACTGGAACTACATTATTCATCATTTAGGAATGTGTTATTGACATTTGCTGCATACTTGTAATCTCTGACATCTGAGACAGTATAGATACATCTCTGTTACCGTAATCATAGTCATAAAAGTGAGTGAGTGAGTATGGTTTTACGTCGTTTTCAGCAATATTCCAGCAATATCACGGCAGGGGACACCAGAAATGGGCTTCACACTTTGTGCCCATGTAGGGAATCCAATCCAGGATTTCGGCGTGACGAACCAACAGTTTAACCACTAGGCTACCCCACAACGACCATAGTCATACAAGGAACATTTATACCAACATATGATAAATCCAGATGTGGGGAAATATGAGAAATTATCCTCCATGGAACTGAGTTTATGAAATATTTCTTAAACACCTGTGAGTATTGAAAACATGGCATGTTTTGAGATATGACATAACACTCATTACCTTCTGAGTGAATTAATTACAGGTAATGAAAGCCTGTTACAGTAACTGATCACAATATCCAGATGTCACGTGTTATTGACTGTTGGACTGCCTTGCTGGTGCACAACAAATATCAAAATACATCAGATACATAGGATACAATTACGAATTAATTTGATCAACTATTTTGCATTTATGGAAGTAATAAATATAAATATTCAGTGAGGCTTTTCCGTAAATATATATGCCAAACAAGCATGCTGAGTCAAAAAAGGCAAAAATATATTGACATCAACTCTTGGTTAGCCAATCAAATGACATGGAATCACTAACAATATATTTTCTAAGATGCCTAGCGGTTAGAACAATCGAAAATTTTTTACATTATCGGACAATAAATGTACAGTGTTTTGATGACGTAACATCTGAATGACGCCATTCTAGTGTGCCCCCTCGTAATCGAACCATTTTACATTACGTCACAATGTTAGCGACGTCACATACATGTCAGTTGTCATTGCCTCGTACGGCCTCCTACAGTAAACTACTCTGTTGCATCCCGTTTCTTGGTTTGCAGTTGCTTCACGCAGCTAACATCACTGGTGGAAATATTACGTTTATGTTTTACGACGGTTAAAATGTGTCAATTCGACTCACAAGTTTCAGCGACATGGTAACGTTCGCAATGTTTACATTCCCACAATGCAATCGTGGAATGTCGCTTGACTACTCAGCTTCATCTGGATGTACTGATCTAAACGTACGTTGGTAGTAGAAATGCGACGTTCATATTGCCCCATATGGTTTACGTTAATGACAGATGTAATTAAAATAATTCAGAGAAGATATTTAATCCGAACGTAAACCGTCATCAAACTGTTAGCATTTGTTTTTTTCTGGTAACACTCGTCTTAACGTAGGGGGAAGACACATCAATAGAACAGCACGCCAGTTAGCCCTGTGCGAGGATTCTTAATTTAGGTCACCGACACTGTCGTTTGTTTTCTGCCTTAAATTAATCGTAATTATCCTTAGAAAGTATTAAATTTGGAATCTTAGAAAAGAAATACAGTTCGGCTCTACCACCATGTATAGTGTAATAAAGCACACTTTCGCCCTGAACTATTATAACGTTAAATTAAAGCACTCGGATGCAAGCGTCCTCGTACTTTAACTATAACAGTTCAGGGCGAAAGTAGGTTTTATTACACAATAGATGGTGGTAGAGCGAACTGTATTTCTTAAATATACTGAAGTCAACTCTTGGTTAGGCAATCGAATGACAAGGAATCACTAACAATATATTTATATATTGACATCAACTCTTGGTTAGCCAATCAATTGACATGGAATCACTAACAATATATTTATATATTGACATCAACTCTTGGTTAGCCAATCAATTGACATGGAATCACTAACAATATATTTATATATTGACGTCAACTCTTGGTTAGCCAATCAATTGACATGGAATCACTAACAATATATTTATATATTGACGTCAACTCTTGGTTAGCCAATCAATTGACATGGAATCACTAACAATATATTTATATATTGACGTCAACTCTTGGTTAGGCAATCAAATTACATGGAACCACTAACAATATATTTATATATTGACGTCAACTCTTGGTTAGCCAATCAATTGACATGGAATCACTAAGAATATATCTATATATTGACGTCAACTCTTGGTTAGCCAATCAATTGACATGGAATCACTAAGAATATATTTATATATTGACGTCAACTCTTGGTTAGCCAATAAAATGACATGGAATCACTAACAATATATTTATTCAGCTTGTCACTGAATTTATTAATTGTATGAGACAACATTTTGGCCACGTGAACAACCTAAAAAGTTGAGAAACTTGCTGAAGAAATAGCTCATCTGACACCAAAAGGATTCTTGCATATCCTATGTACCATAAACAGAATATTTAATTTCATACCTGCTCATCCCTTAAAAAAAAAACCTAGCTAAGTTAAAACTGCCCTACTCGAAACTAGAGTAAAAACACAGATCTCTCACTGACCCAGACAGTGGTGTGTTTTAGGTACTAGAGAATGCAAGATCATGTTATAGATAGTGTTATTCCAATTACGTGTGATATACAATTATCCCCACTCTCGTGACACACTCGTGTTCCACTAGGTCACAAGTATAGGATAAAGATAGTCAGCCAACAAATGAACTGATTGCAGCT